AGAGAGAGAGAGAAAGAGAGAGAGAAAGAGGGGGGGGGGGATCATAAGTCCATATCTCATGGGAGTCTATGTTTGATTTAGTTTCCTGTAATGGGGTTTCACATTAGAGAGAGACGTAGATCCCTATTTTGTGGGAACTGATTTAGACAGAAAGAGAAAAAAGAGTACCAAGTGAAAGAGATAACAGAGGCCTTTGATTGGTTATAAATAAATCAAGGCTGAGAGTCTCGTGTGACACACAAACACACATTTGATGACATATAAAGGGCAGTAAGATTAATCATAAGTAATATTGGTCATTAGTTGTACCAAACTCTATCATTAATAAGTTAAAAAAATGTGCAGCTGCAAATATGCAACCTGCTCTTTAACTTGGTAATGTATACTTGAGTTCTTCATACATTTTCATGTAACCCATGGTTGTGAAAGGCCATTTTAACATGGTAGAAATTTGTGCCCCAGAGATGTGCAAGTTTGAGCATGACATAATTTATGCAGAAGAATCTAGAGAGGAAAAAATTACTTGTATTCCATCTAGTAATTCTTGAAGTGATTCATTCAATGCTGCCAGCTCAGCTGAATTTTTATCTGCAGAATGAAACAGATGAGCAAGTTGAAGGTGCATCCCATGGCAGAAGTGAATACATAAAACACCGTAGGATATATTGCTATTTGGACAGGCTTATGACAAAGGAAGTCAAGCAATTACTAGGTTTGATGTCATTTCCGTCAAGGTCTATTGGACTCAAATCGTCTTCGTTAGTATCACTGTTGGATCCATTTTTGTCAGCATTAGCAGAGGGAGCTCCAGGTGGAACAAGTGCCAAAACTTCAAAGCACATAAAATGCGCAAAGAATGAACTCTGGAATTCATGATATAAACAAATTAGCAACAAAAGGTAAAAAAGATTATTGGCAGCAAGATAATACATAAGAAAGATAAATAACAGATCTAACCTCGTCGACAAGGAGAGGTATGAATATAGTCAGCATCTTTGAGTAAGCTTCAGAGACTGTAGAAGTATCTGCATTATTTGCTGTTTGATTGGATCCTACAGAGCCTTCCAGCCAGACTGTAGGATTTCTCGATGCTTTGGTGCTAGCACGAAGTTCATTTGCAAACTCACGAGCCTGGAAAATATTTACACCTAAGTCAATCTGTAATAAAATTTTCTGATTTCCCTGACCAAACCACAAGGTTAACAAGCATAATATAAACATGAGCTACATTTTGGCTGAAAGAAACATCTTAATTTGAAATTTTAACATGAGTGAAGAAGCAAATACTTTCTATATTAGCAAAAAAAGCACCAGCTATTGCATAAGACTTCAGCTGCCAAAATCAAAATCAAGTTCTATAAAGAATGATGATGAAATGAAAAGTCACTGCAGCTCCCTGAAAATAAAGCTAAAAAGGGCGCCCATCATCATAACATGACTAACAATACTTCTTCCAGCATTTAGTGTTTTCTTGCTTTTTTCAGGAACTCTCAAAGAACTGCAGCCATTGGTGATTTGAAGATTGCCCTTTAAGTAATGAAATACATAAGGTAAGATCTAGAATCCAGTTTGACAATGGCTCAGGCCTCTTCCTATGAACATTTTATCTTTAAGAGATGATAATTACGGATCAATTCAAAGCATTAGATGGAATAAAGATTTCTCATTCTGACCTCTCGTCGAAGCAGAACGTTCAGAGATTGGCAATAAGCTTTTCTCAGAGGGCCCAGGCACCTCTTATCTAGACTCTGAAAGTCAAAAAGTATATTAGATATCACATAATGTGTCCTTAGCTGACAAAGCAGAAGGATATACCTATAAACCAACCTTTAGATGCTGCATAAGCCGTGCATATGTCCTGCACTTGTACCTCAAATCAGCATGGTCAGGCCTTTTCAACTGCCCACGCTGCAGGCATCCAAATGTACAACCTACAGTTAAATTGCATCTATTGTAATAGCTTCTGTAAGTTGCAAGGCTCACTGCAACATGGAGCTATTCAAAGGAATTCTAACCTGAGAAAAGTAGCTCTTGTCACTAATCATAAAGTCCACCAGACTAGCAAAATAGTTTCTCAGGAACTCAGATGCTCGTTTTACAAATGTAGTTTTTAACTTCTCAAGTTCCGCACGCTTCTCTCTGACCTGTAAAAAAGTTCAAACATGAATATTCAAACACAATGAATGATGAATATAAAATAAGACTGAAGAATTATGGTAAAGAATACTCTCGGAATCCTAGAACAGAAAAAAAGGCCTGAACAAATAGCCGTATTATTCATGATGACTCCTTTAGAGAACATCATTTGGATGCAAAGTGACCAATACATGGGAAATCCCTGCTAAAGGTCAATTTCCAGGATCATAGAACTAATGCACAAGGCATACATAAGAATATTAGGCTTATAAAAGAAAAACTTATGACTAAAGCAGCTACATTCATAATGGGAAGCAACTTATAGGGGACTCCTCAAGAAATACTTTAAATGGTTTAGACTTTGCAGATGACTGAAATCCAGCAATCGAATTGCACCATGTTGTTTGTTTCATGCAAAGTTAAAAGGTGATACTTCAAAAGGCATACTTATTTAAGAAGAAGAGTGCAGATTCTTGGTTTTGTTGTTTCCAGTTTCCACCAATTAGTAAGAAATGATTTTTCAATTTCATGTTTTTTAATCAACAAGAATGCCAAGTATCTGAAATAACCTCCAACTCGTAAAACATCCCAAACTTATCATGGGAATCTTGGTCACAGACAGTGATAATAATCACACAAAAAAAATCATAAATACTATAATTGAAGTATTCTTCAAATAATAACCTCGTCATTGTGTATCAAAAAGTAGGTGATCAGGTCATGCAATAGTATTTGGATAATTACAATATTTGAAGAGATAAAATGCAATGAAGTAAACATAAGGAATGCAGATGGTGCACTTCTAGAATAGCAATGAAGAAGCCACTCTTTACGTAGAAATATAGAATAGGTACATGGTCGAAAAGAAGGCCATCTATACACAAATGAGTTAGAAGACATACAGCGCGCATATTTGCATAGCAAGGATCCAAATTTGGTACTTCAAGAGCATGCAATGCGGTAGCCAACCATTCACATGCTTCAACATTTTGAAGCATGCGTGCCTCATCGAAGGAACTCCCAGTTAGCGATGATGCAAACTGCAATCAAATGAAAACTCTACAAAATTAACAATGATTAAACCTGCAGTCAATAGACAATTCTAAGAAATTAACAAAGGACCAATGTGTATGACTTAATATGTGGTTCCACAATCCGTCAACAGTGATCATACCTCAGAAGGGACACGCAGTCTTTCAAGAAGCTTATCAAGTTCTTCAATGAGTGCTTTATTATTTACAGACTGCATCTCCAACTTATTATTCCGAGATTCAATCTGAATTATGGCAAGTAGAATATCATTAGAACATATCAGTTCAACCTCATGAGCAAGGATCAAACATGCATGACAAATATCGGACTTCTACAAGGAGCATCACAAATCCATGATGCACAATTGGTATCAGCAATTAAATACAAGGTACGCTAATTAGAGTGTTGCTAATCAGAATGCACCTCAGAAAAGCCACCAATACCAACGCTTTGGTATCACATTGTTTTAAAGATTTCAACTTGCTCAACGCTCGAAAAGGAACACTGTTTTCCTGTCAAATACTGTTCAGTTTTTGCTTGTTCCAGGTATTATGGAAGTCTCAGACTCCACCAAGATTTAAATAAGCATTCTGACGACAAATATTTCCGCAAGATAAAGCTTAACATACATTTTCATCAAAACCATTACGTTTTCAGCACCACCATGGTTGTTCTGAATTTCTTGTTTCTTTTTTGCAGGAAAGTAATGGTTATTTTGTTGATGAATGTTGCTTATACAACATATGTCTGATGTGTAAGCAAGCTTTTGAATCAGTAAACCACTTACTTCCGCACTTTCCCCCAGTGAATGTCATATTGAACACTTTCACTATACTTGGGTTAAACTGGCGGTTCCAGCTTCAATGGAAGCCTCATTACAGCAATGGTACACTTCCCCCTTGCCCAACAAGGGCTGTATCTTTTGAAGTCTAACCATTTGGAATTCTATGGTTAACATGTGATGATGCGCAAAGTGCATCAAGTAGAAAGAGTGACGAGTATCTTCGATTAGAGCAGTAGATCCCTCCTAACTCTCGAGTATATTTGGAGGATGTGAACCCTAGAATGGCTACCAAGAAGAACAACAGTTGCTTGGGAGTACTTTACGGTATTTTCCATTATTTTTCTGTTAGTTTTAATTGCCTTCTGGACCAGTTGGGGGTTTTCTAGGCATTTATTACAGTCAGCGGTCATTTGTTTGAAAATCACTTCAATTAGGATTTTTGGTCATTTTATTTATTGCACGGACATTTAATGTTTTTTAACATTAAACAATAACATTTAAGAGGTGCAGAGGTCTATAGACAACCGATTCACACGACTTTCCAGAGAAAAGGACAAAGAAAGCCTTGGCTTTTGAACTTCTCAAAAAAGAAAAAAAAAGTCTTGGCTTTTGAAGACCTAGGTAGGGTTTGAAGAAATCCTAGGTTTCTTCAGAATTGTGTTTTTCCTTGAAATTGTTATTTCTCTGTTTTCTTCATAGAACATCTACATCACTTCACAAAAGCCAAGTACAAAGAAGAGGTGGAAAAACACCGTTGTTTCAAGGAGTTCAATGTGGATAGTTTGGTGATGGTGTATCTCATGAAAAGGAGGCATCCAGCAGGCAATACACAATGTTGAATGGCCGCAGAGTAAAATCATTCAAGATTTTGAAGAAGATAGACAACAACGCTTACAAGGTCACCTCACCTTCACATATGAAGACTTCAGAGTTCCAATATCTTTAACATTGCCAATACATTCGAGTATCTTGGGCCAGAGATGATGAAGATGAAGGTTTTACCTCGAGGCTCAACCCGGGAGAATGATGATGAGCAAAGTGCATCAAGTGGACAAAGTGAGGAGCATTTTCTATAGAAGCAGCAGATTCCTCCTAGCTCTCGCGTAAATTTGGAGGATGTGAACCCTAGGAGGGCTACCAAGAAGAGCAAGCAAGCTTGGGATAATTTTCTAGTTATTTTAGGGTTATTTTTCTGTTAGTTTTAATTGATTTTACTTTCTAGACCAGTTTGGGACTTTCTTGGCATTTCATTTATTGTCATGATCGTTTATTTTAAAAGTTATTTGGACTTGTGAGTCTTATTGTATGGTCACGTAATGTCTTCGAAAATTAAATAATGAGATTTAAGAGGTCCATGGGGCTATGGACAGCCACTCACGTGACTTTTCAGAGAGAGAGAGCTTAGGCTTTTGGGAGCCCCCGTTGGGTTTGAAGAAAAATCCTAGGCTTCTCCTATTTGTTGCTTGTGCTTGGCCTGAAGTTTACTGATTTTACTGTTCTATATCAATTTTCCTACATCAACATGGCTTAAGCAAAACGACAGTTACTCCAATAATGAAAACATGGGGGTTGAGAGGAGGAAAGAGCAATTAAAAGCAACTGTTGCATCTAAGGATTCTGGGGTTATTCAATGAATGACTCTGAAACTAAATGGCAGAAGACTGAGGTAACTTGTTAGGAAAGACAAGACCCACCAAATGGATTCCATGCCCAGTGGGTCTAATAAAGGTGAACTTCGATAGATGTTCAAAAGATAACCCAGGCAGAGTGGGGAAGGAGGGGTGGCGAGCAACGATCAACCGAAGATATTGCTAAGTTACTCAGGGCCATGACATGAATGCAATGTCAATGAGGCTGAGATGCCGGTGCGACTAATTGGTCTGAGAAACGTAGACTCGAGGTGCCAAATGCTGATAATAGAAGGGGACTCCACAACTGTGATAGCTTGTCCCAGAGGGAAAGAGGAATTCCCTGTCAGTTACAAACAAAATTTGAAGAGATTTTTAGTGAAACAAGCAATGCAAGAACTGTAGTCTACAAGCATGGGGTTGAGATTCAAAAGAGTCCAATGGGTTGGCAGACGCCCTAGCAAAAGAGGCAATGAAATCTTCATTATCAGTGAACAGTTTTTGAGGCTTAGATAGGCATTAATAGAATACTTCATTCTGTTGTACAGCTGAGCTCTTCATCCATAGGCTAATTTTTATACGTGATCTTTATACATGCACACAATTTTGATCAATGAAATTTTAACTATATTTAAATAAAAAAGCCCATAATTTACAACTATAAAGAGGGATGAAAAATTGGATCCCACAACTCCAGTGCAAAAAGAGGGTACCGCCTTACTGATTCAATGTCCTCTCTCATGTGTCTAAGCTTCACATTGAAGATACCTAGCCACTCATCCATGTCTTCCACACAAACTGATGCTGCTTCTAGTCCTTGCAAAACCTGCAAGCCTCACAGATTTCTACTAAGAAACAAACCAAACAGCTAATGTAACTCAATCTGGATTCTGAGAGAAATAATATTAAAAAAAGTTAATGGTAAAAACAGGATGGAAAAGGAAAACAAAGTGACAATTAACAACTATAATCACTGCAGAATAAGAAATTCATGGTCAAGCCAGCACTAGGCAATGCTTACATTGAACAAATATTACAATATAATAAACAATTGCAACAATTACACTACAAAGCTATTTTCAAAGCTCCTAACATGTGTGGAAAGTTCATATTGCCAACAGAATCTTAGCATCTGATTTAAGCAATGGTTCTTTTATAATTTAAGGAAAGAACTCAACTTAATGGCTCCAGGATCCCAAGATTACCTCCTCTATCAAAGGTTCACTTTCCAAAATGGCATGAACATTAGCTGCTTCCAAAGCAAGTAGTTCTCGCTTCAGCCTTTCAGAAAAGGCCTCTGCCTCTCCAATACCCATTACATACCTGTCATTAAATCAGGAAGCACAAAACATTATTGTTGTAAACAATCAACAAAGAAAACACCAAATGTATCAATAGATATCTTTCCAATGAAGGAATGGTCAACCACATATCATGCAGATCTTGCAACCAATAACAAGGTAAAAGTCTAAACCATAAGTGTTGCTTCACAACAGATCCCATATCTGAATTATAGTAAAGGGACATTAACACTTTATCTGAGCCAGCTACTTTCCAAATTGACCATTAAAAAAAAGCTATATATATAGATATTTTAGGAATATCTAGCCTAGGCAAAGCCCTAATATAATGAGATGGCTCAAGTAGACAAGCAACTAGATCTTTGTCAGGATGGACAAATTTCAGAAAGAAGAAGAGATCACAGGTGAATCCTGTGGGGTAGAACCTGATGTTTCACTAGTGGGAGGTAAGTTCGGTGGGTAATCTCTAAATATGCATGTATGCCATAGCTCATAAGTGCAGTGAATGATTTAGGCCTCAAATCTATTGAACAATTTCTTGATAAAATTAATCCACCATTTCAGCCTAGTGGACAGAGAAGTTCCTTTAAAGTGCAGAAACGTGACAAGAGTCCACCTACAACTTCTTTGCTCAACCGGATATTAGAAGCATAATGCTAATGCTTTCACCTGCAATGCAAAGAATATAACCCAGAATTTCACTGCAAGTGTTCGAAGAAAGTAAACAGAAATACATCTTATGTCGCAATGTGAATTCACAAGAGCCGTCTAAGTTCTGATAAGTTTCCCTTTAAGGGTTCCCGTCAACTTCAACAGTAGAAAACTAGGAATTGCATCTGAAGGGTAGGATTTTTTTAAGCATGAATTATACACCCACAATGATCATTATATGCAATAAGTCTATATCATAGGAACCGTGCATTTTAGATATGCCTCTAAAATGTGTCACTAAAACTCAACTAAGAAGAGCGCCGAGATACTTCTGGACAGGAGAATTTAAGTGAGGAAATTAGACTAGTGAGTTATTGTGCATATCCAGGTCGGATTCCAGGCATGACCATCACAGAGATGTTAACACATTCTGGAGCTTCACGATCTACTATAAGAATTCCCCAAGGTCCAGGTTATTTAGGGAGTTGTCCTCAATAGATCTGGTGCATGGAAAATGAAGATTAAATTGTTTATTATTGGATGCTTGTCAGGCCATCTGTGAAATTTGTAGAAGAGTATTTTGTTTATGAAACAGTCCTCCAAAAGTACCAGGAGGTTAAGTGGCCAATCAGACCCCTCTTTGCAAGTACTGGATCAAAAGTATGCCTTTTCTTGAGTAGGGTCCGGCTTATGTTGGGTGTTTCTTACCCCTCGTTTTTTTTGCATTCTACATTTATTCATATTTAATATTCAAATTACCAGAAAAAAGGCATATATCAAAACAAAAGAGGGAAAATAATATAAGTACATGGGTGAGGTAATTTTAAATGGCATCAAGACCTAAACACATGCTATGAATAGAAGGGCAAAGACATCAATTTATAATGTTTTGACACATAACGCTCCCTTCATCCATCCCTCCCCTTGTGTGCAAGCATGCATGTGACAACAAATATCAAAAAGAAAAAGCATATACATCTCGGTGTACTGTGTACACATGAGTTGTTAGTGATAAACTCCAAAGAGAAGCAGCATATACATCAAGCTGCACTGCATATACATCAAGCTGCACCTCAAGGGGTACACAAAGAAATAGAAACACAGAAATGTTATTTAATAAAATTTGAGGGTGCTTGGCGACAAAATGCCCTAGTACAAGTCAGTGGCAATAAATATGTTCATAAATATCATTGTACACTAATCAGAAATCTAAACAAAAATATATAACACTGCAACAATATTTTCAAAGATAAACCTAATGAACATAAATAAATGTGAATAAAACAAGAATCATTTGGATGAAGCAACTTAAAAAGAAAAAATGATTAAGAAACACACGTTCCAAGGAGAGCCTCCATGTCCTCCTCTTCAGCTTGTGAAACAAGGTCTCTTTCTACAGTTACTCTCAAATCATTTTGTGTCATAACAGATGCAGCTGGACCATCAGGAGTACTTGCTTTAGTGGTAACAGTTGGTGTATTTTCCTAGAGTATATTCACAGAAAACAAGTTATTATTGACAACAAGACAGATCAGCCTTGGAAGGAGGGGAACCAAAAAAAAAATCAACACATATATGCTACAGTGGAGCAGCAGGTGTGGTTTTAAATAATAATAAAAATAACGAGTAAAATGTCAAGCAGCCAAATCATATATTGAAAATAGAAAGTGTAATGCATGTTGAGTCTCGAAATGTAAAAACAATTCAAGGCTGTTTCCATCATACATGAACAATGATTAGAGATTACTAAATGTTGATATAGCACTGGTTACAGCTAAAACCAAAAATAACACATTTTGAAACGGTGGATGATGGTGGAGATCAGCCTTCACATGTTTTCACAAGTGAAGGCTTTACTTACTGTCTGGCCTCTTGAAAATCATGTTACACAAATTGGACATATATTCATCTCTTTGGTTGAAGGTCGGGCACAACACCTGAGAAGCTCTCCATAGAAGAAACCATTTATAGAAAAGGCAGATAATTTTCAAAAAGCAAAGGAAAATGCTATAACATGGGATCTCAATCAAAGTGAGAAGTACTAAATGGAGATGTTCATAAAAATTCTCTCATCTGTGGGTATTACTTTGCCCCTATTACTGCATATGTATACACATATTACAAGCAGTAAAGAGAAACATAGAGCCCGTAAATGTTTGCCTCAGTGGTGGCCTATGACTCACAGTTGAGTTATAAAGAGAAGCGAAAATGGAAATTATTTTGAAAGGAGAGGGGTACTTACTCTGCACATTCAACAAAAATATCCTGTCTACCTAAAATATAGCAACTAAGCAGATTTACGATCAACATATAATTAAAGCTTCTATTGGCCATAACTAATTAATGAGATGGGAATGTGTTATTTGCTGGCTTATTTAACAACAAGAGTTTCTTTCTCAATATCAATATCATTAAAACTTCAGAAAATTAAAAATATTATTAAAGAAAATTACAAGAAAAATTGGAGTCTTCAATAGATAAAATGAAGAATAGTTTCGCAAACCCATGTCATCTACATGCAAAGATGACAACAACGCTGTTTGCTTATGATTAGGATTTTCAGGCTGAAAACAGCACAAAATGAACAATTTGACTGGTGATAAATTTAGATACTTCCTGTTAGATATAATAGCAGATTTTTCAGTGACTGATATTTCGCATATCAACCTTTATATTTGATGCAACTAATGTGCTGGTCACGTACATGGTTTGAATTCATCAAAATGCAGCGTTTCTGTGTTGTGGATAAAACTAGGTACTTTCTCTTTTTATACTCACCAAGAAGTGATGTTTCTTGAGTGTGTGTATACCTAAAGTGAATATAAAATGGCATCCAAAGAAGCCACCAACACGCATTCTGGCTATCAAATATCACCTAAAGGGCCTCCCCAACTGTGCCGAAACATGGTTTGGGGTGGCATCCAGATGAGGCTTAAACCATTAGCCATGTGCCACACATGTAGTAAGAGCACATAATACAAAACCAAAAGGCAACTTGCTCATTTTTTAAATCAAGGAAATTTTCACGGTAAAACGAATCAATGTCAGAATGTTAAAGAGATGCTAAACCTTAACATACGACATGAGAGATCCTGAAGTTGGAAAGAAATACAGATGATCGAAAGAGAAGATATGCACCTTTGCCCAAAGAGCCATCTCTACAATATCTATTCCAATCAATTTTGGAAGACGACCCAGTATTTCTTTGCTCATGTTCAAAATGCAAACAAGAAAGCGATTCCTACAAGAAAAACAAAAGAAAATTAATGGCGAAATGCATAAAGGGTGGATAATGCCTCTGATAAAAATAGAACCAACATGATCATCATCTAAACCACTCCAGAGTGTAGGTTCTTGTAATTGAAATTTACAAAACCTTAAAAAAACCATGCTAGAGACTAACCAATATACGAAGTAGCTTCCAGATTGACATGGAAGGTAGGGAAGAGATAAGAAGGAAATTAAGCAAAAAGAGGTCCAACTCTACACACGATTACCTATCATCAATGTTGCGCATGGTCCATTGAGGTGGTGAAACACTCTGGCTTCTGAGATTATCAAATCCCTATAAAAATATAGGAATATCAGAAAATTTTAAAAGCATTTTTTTCAATCATACTTTTTATCAGAAGCTTCCTACCAAAATGAAGATCCCTTCAGCAGCATGCAGTTACAGGCATTCAAGCTAAAGAATGAGAGGCCAATAGAATAGAAAGTTCAAGATTTACCAGCATAAATGTGCAGCCGCTGGGATCATTTGGAGTAACCTCCACTTTTGACAGGTGCTTGAGCTTGTAAAGTTTTGCAGGCTATGTGCACGCAAGGAAACAATGGGTAGAAGAATATTTAACCATGCTACAAAGGAACAAAAATCATCCGCATATCTTTGCTAATGAAAGAAAGAAGTAAAAGTTCATGACCCACAAACCCAGGGAGACCAGTTAATAGCATACTTAATATCAGGTAATCAATCAAAGTCAGTCAGCACTATAAAATCAATTAATTGGTTGGGACCTATAGGAAACCTTAGAATAGTTACATTGATGCCAAGGACTTCTTCAAAGAACACAATCAAACCTGCAGCTGATATTGCATTCAGAGAATCTCACTCAATCATAACGAATTGTTTAGAGTTTCTCATCACAGGAGAAACTGGACCCTCAATTAAAAGATAGAATGCTGGGCAATACTACCAGCCTAACTTTTTAAATACAACTAGATTCAACACGTCAAGGCTCAAAACTCCAGAAAAGGGTCCCATAACCTAACCCAGACCACTTTGAATTCCACCCAGACCACAGCAGACAAATGAAGACTCAAAACCTGGGCCTAGATCCTCAAGAGTAGAGTCCAAAAATATGGGGACTTAAGCTCAAACTCACTCAAGTCATCTGAACCTAGCAGGGTGCCTGGTCCAGATGAATAAACTGAGATTTGGGGTGAGTCTGACCAAAGTCATGGATTTGTATCATAAGTTTTTATGGAGACTCATCCAAGGAAGCCTCCAACTCTAGCTCGGGACCCTGGATTTTAATCACTCAAAGACCCTCGATTTTCCTCCTCCAGAGTCCTCAACCTCCATGAGGACCATGAATCTCAGAGAATCACAAAGGAAGAGGCCAATCTGACTTAGCAACCAACGTGTACAAACCACACAGACCACTTGTTTGTCCAATAACCACACACTCGCATTTGATGATCATTCACAGGTTTTCTACCTATTTTTAGGTTGGTTTGCAAAAGACTATGATATCAGTAGTTCCTTGAGGTAGGAAAACACCAACTCTCCTTCAATCACAGGAAAGTGCATTTCAAATAATAATTAACAAAAATACAGAGAGGATGCCCTTGTAATAAGCCTCAAAAGCTCCAAAAATCCTCATCAGGGTCCCACTAACCATAACTAAGAAGCCAACAGCAGAAATCTGAAACACACGGTCTAATGTTTTTCAAGGGATATGTAAAGGGAAAGGTCAAGGCATAGGATTGACTGATAAATTCTAAGAACTTGTAAGAAATCCTCGATAAAGTTCAATGTGCACCTGTCCAAATAAAATTTGGAAGCAAAAAAACAGTTCCATATTTTTTGAAGAAAAAGTGAGATAATATTAAAGTATAAGTATAATATACAAAAACCCACGAGATGTGGGAAAAAGCCTCACCACATATTCATGAATAAGAACATAAAGAAATGGGTAAACTGCCCCTTAGCATCAATAAGCTCAAGAACCATCACCTCAAGAACCCCACCAGAAGAATACTTCAACACACGAAGGAAAGCTTTTGTCCTTTGACCCTTTGAAGAAAATTTGGCTGCAAAATAAGAAATAACCAGTCAAATACTAATGTATCCATGCACATTAAAAAAAATTTGATTTTCCATCTCTCAAAAGCAAGTGTCCTTTTGGACCCCAAATTTTTAACACATTTCGATGTCATCTAGGCAACCAGAAATTTAAAAATAAAAATGGACTCAAACAAAAACTCGGGGAAAATGAGTGCCATTTTTGGTGAAAATGGATCATCCATTTGGTGGTGTATCTAGAGCTTCAATAACTCAAAGTATTTCTTTCGTTTTTTTTGTGTGTGAAACGGCTACTTTTTCAAAGCAGATATATTGCGCAATATTTCAGGCCAAAAAACATCTCTAAATGTGCTCTGGAGGTCATTTTAGACTATAGCTATATGCACGATCCTTATAGAAATTATTCTGTGTGTGTACCTATAATAGATTAACTTGGAACCAAAAACAAAAAAAATAGCCAAACATGTGCTGAAATTCCTGTGGCCTAATACCATTTTTCACTCGTAATCAGTAGTAAACAGCTCTGATTCAGAAAAATAGTATGCCAGAGGCCCTGAAATGGTACTTGTTCACTGTTTGATGCACAAAATAAGGTTGCTATGAATAAATAAACGAAGAAAATAACTGAAAAGCTCCAGAATCAAGCTTCCAGAGACCAGATTAAAGAAGATTTTTAAAATGATTTCTCAAAAAGGAATATGAAGTGTGTTTACTAATTATTAGCATAAAAAACAGATCTCCAAATGGTCAATTATTAAGTCACCATAGTGCAAATTTCCAGGAAATTTTACAGTAAAAGTTGAAAGAGAAAATGTATATAATACAAAAATGAGATATAAGCAAACTGCAAAGCAAAAGAGTTACATGATCATTTATCTATGAATAATGACACAAGCATAGAACGAAGAAGAAAACATTAATCAATACTAAGAATCATCTCATGATATGTCCTCAAATAGAGGGAAGATACAAAGCACTCAGAGCTCAGAAGTACATCTCACAAGAAATCCAAGGAATTCTACAATTAATCTCATGAATCTTAACTCTTCTTTCACACATTTAAAAGTCCTTTGAAACTCTCGAATCAAACATCAAACGCAACAGAAAGCAACAGTAGGAAAAAAAATAAGCAGCAATTTCCCAAATTTTCAGAAATTAAAAGCCAATCAAAGCCAAAAAGAACCCCAATAACCCTCGATTTTCCAAGAACAAAGGCCATTGAGACTTACTAGAGAGAGCCAAAACCCTAGGTTTCGACATATGTCGACCCAGTCTGCCGGATTTACCCCAAATTCCTCTGCTTTTGCCTACTCTAATCGCCATTGTGATCCTATCCTTGCAGCCTTCTAATGCAGCATCAGCTGCACTGATAAGCTCCTCATCTTCTGCACCACCTGCTGCCCCTTTCGCCATTGACGCAAGCATTGAGGTCCCTGATACGAGAGAGAGAGAGAGAAAGAGAGAGTTTTCTTCAGGTCATTTGATTCCACGTATTTATCGCGGTAAAGGAGACGAAGCGAGGTGATAACAGCTCGGGTAGAGAGAGAGAGTAATTTATTACGTGCTGATTCAAAATGAACTAAAAAATTGCTCAAACATGTAAAATACGCGATACTTTATAGTAATGTCATGTCTTAAGGCTGCGGTTTGTACGGGGCTGATGCCCAATCAAAGTAAGGCGCACTTTTAAATGGCATAGAAATATATTTTTCGGCGTTAGAAATTTTTGTGATGGCTTGATACTTTATGTTTAGATTTAATAATAAAATTTAAAATTTTAAAAATAGCTCATATTGCGTAAATGTATGAACGTTTGACAAATATTGAAAATTGGAAGTCCAGAAATACATATATTATAATATAGATTTTTTTTCAAGATTTGAAATCTATTTTTTTGTCATTTCCATGCATGCATGTTGAGGTTGAAATAATCGATTTGAAGATTTTTACACATCAAAATAACCTTTTTTTAGTGGATATTTTAGGTGCACTTTTATTTAATTATTTAAAGCCTCGCCCTTATATAAAAATTGTCGTCTAAAAGATGCGAAAAGTACAATAACGGTCGTTATACCGTGACCTTATTGTATAAATGCAAGGGGCACGGAAAGAGCATCTCTATACATAATATAATGGATGGTCAATTGCACCTCCATACATAATATAATGGAACGTCAACTGCAGTAATATAACGGCTCAATATTTTGCTCTTTCTTAAGCTTTGTGAAGTAATTTTTGGGGCTCATATTAATATGGACAAATCCAAACTTTTGGATATTAATTGCTCCACAACGTCTGTCGCTGGGCTACTTGGCTTGATTGCGGGGTGGAGCAATTTCTCAAAATTTAAGCGTCCAATCTTCTATTAAACCCGCATATGTTAAAAATATAAAACAAATACTCCAATAAACTAAAATAACCAAAATACCCCTAAAAAGTCAAGAGGTATTTTGGTCATTATATTTTATCGAAAAATATTTTTAATATTTTTTGTAGGTGCTCCCCAATGAGAAGATGACACATACCAAATTTCATATTTATACAATTTGTATAAGAAAACTAAAAAATAAAAAACTTTAAAGAGTCGGATCTAAGATCAAAAGGTGGGTGGCTTACTTGGATGGCTGGATGTTAGGGGAAGCATAGATCTTGAAGAAGTATAGAAACCTTTCCCAGTAGTATCCGATTTCCTTCTTGTAGTTTTTTGCCGTTTCCTTTTTACTATTCACTTCCCCTTGTCCTTAACGATTTTCACCTTGCCTTTTCAGTTTTTTGGGCAAAAACCTTTTTTGCTCTTTTATAACGGCCATAACATTATATAATTGACAGGTAGATGCGGCCCAAACCCAGTCTGTTACATTATGAAGATTCTTTAAACATGTTTGAAGGAAAAACAATTTTTTTCAGTAAATAATTCAGATAAAAATTTTTCATTTATCCTTACCTCATAAACTCACTGAAGTGGTCATATACCAAGGGCTGAGAAATCGTGATTACTTGAAGATTAGGAACTTAGGGTTATTTTCAGCAATTTGAGCTCAAGGTTAGTAACACCGAATTGCCAAAACATGATAATAATCATCTTTGTTTAGGTTTGGTACCATGGAACTCACTCTTTTTTATTTCAAACCTTGAACAACCAGAGGTGCCATAATCAGCGGGCTCATGCCATTCGAGTAATGGCAAATTACTAAAATACCTTTGATTGTTAAAGGGTTCCCAATTATGAGCAAAAGCAATTTGAAAATATTTTAGATTTTATTTTTTTAAAAAGAAGTATTCGAGTGTAATGAAATTTAAAAAATAAATTTAAAATTACAACAGTAATTTTGTAAGATAGCTTGGGGACTTGAGCTATACTTGCCATAGAAGTGACGTTCAACAAATAGTATTATAATTTACTAGGAAAATATTAACACATTAGTCAAACCACCTCGACAAATGAATGAGGTAGTTAAATTAATTAGCCAACAAAGTTGTAACTTCCCCAATTATTTTTTGAACATATAAAATTGCCTCTATTATAAGTTTACAACCGCCAATGTAAGGGTATTTCACTGATTTCTCCATCTAAGTCTCTTGAAACAAATAACCTAAATAATCCCACTTGTTCAAAAAAGATATTTTAATAGAAAATCTTTTCCCGGGTTGGAATCCTAAACAAGCTTGATTAATTATGTCTTTAGGCTGGAGTTAGTTAAATAGGTCTAGATTTTCAAATCTCTACTTGCTCAAGAATGCAAATCAAAAACAATCAGAGGTATTTTGGTCATTCAACTCAAAAAACTTAAGTTTCTTAAATTATCAATATATGTTTCTTATTCAGGGTTACAATCTCCAAACAAGTGTGATTTTAATAACTTTTTAATAAATTTCCGTTGGTCCTCCTCGATCTCAGTTAAAAGAATTCCAAACATCTCGAACAGCTTTTCAAAAAGCTTCCCTTATGATTCTTAAATCCTCTAAAACCCATCATTAACACCTTCTAAAGTTGCATCATCAAGATTAGCAACTGCCTCCTGATGACCGACTAATAATATCAAGTCCTCTAAATTTTCAAGTTCTCCATGAGAGCACTGTCCATGGCCGTGCAAGTTGTCCATGAGAGCACTACCTAGTACTGTAACTCGTCGGAAGCCGACATTTCCTTTGCTTTTAATGAATCTTGGTATATGACTTTGTCTCATCCTTTCAAAGGTATTGCAAAGTTCTGTCATTTAGAGATCATTACCATAGCTTCTGAGGCAGGGGAACTCATGGCCATTTCACGATCCGTTGAGTGTGTTACAGAACACCCCCAACAATGGCAACTTTCATTCTCGTAAAGGGTCGTGGTTTCTTCAGTACATTATCTGCTCTCAAGGTTACTAATGAGAAGCAGATCTCTGTATGCAATCTCTTAAAATTTACTTCTTTAAAGCGTTTTAGTCTCATGATATCGTGACTCATGGCCTCCATGGAAGCTCCAATAGCCATCTCATGCATAAAACCATATGGTTTTTCTGATTTCTTTGTGACAAAATTTTGGCAAAGTCTCCCCTTGATCGAAATCCATTTTCAATAAATATCTTAGATATACTCTTAATTCCAATTAAACCTCGCAGGTTTAACTTTGGGTTTGGAGTATATATGCATAACAATCTTCTTAGTTTCAGCAAAACCCGAGGGGTTTAGGTTTGGTTTTAAAATTACAGGGAGAGAGATTTAAAATCAAATACAACAAAAAATATAAGGAAGCTGGAGGCATGCGATCGTCATGCTTTTTTTTAAGTGTTAAACGCCTAGGATACAAATCTCTAAGACATAATCGATCGTGACACTCCTAGGCTACAACTGGCTAGATAGAGAACAAAGATAGTGTACAGCTGGACAAGCCATGACACTTGTCCAGCCTGATATTTAATTTAAAATTAGAGCAGTTTGATGTCAAGACTACATTTCTTCATGGAGAATTAGAAAAATAAATTTATATGACTCAGTCATAAAGGTTTATTGTTAAAGAAAATGATGGCCATGTCTACAAGTTGAAGGAGTCATTGTATGGCCTAAAACAGTTTCCTAAGCAGTAGTAGAAGCATTTTGATACATTGATGATTGGTCACATATATGTCTCTGATACCAAAAACTTCATATGGAAATAAACATTGTGATATTGCTTCTTTTAGACTCCTAAAGATTGAAAGGCTTGTTTGTCATAGAGCAACGGTTCCTATTGATATTTTAGGTGGTTTCCTTTTTAGTTATAGAGAAAGTTAGTTTCTCGATGCTCTTGCGTCTTGATCTGGTGTTGCCGGTAATGATTGCCAGAAGTAAAGAGAATGAAAGGAGAGCGGTTTAAAAGAGTTTGCTCGACTGTGTTTCTATCGATATTTAAAGAGGTAACTCTATGTCCTAAAATATATGATGTAACTTTCATTGGTATAGTGGATTTCAATTTGTCGTGCCCGTAGATGTAGCCCTTCTAGGGTGAACTACGTAAATATGTGTATTTTTGTGGTATGTGTTTTATGCTTTATTTCTCGTTCTTTATTTGCCAAAATTCAACATATCGAGTTTAGAGGTTCCACGTACAACACCTGAAACAGTGAAAGGCAGACCTAGGCCCAAAAACTTTAGTTTCAAATTCATGACAACAAAGCTCGAGCATGGCTTGGGCCCGGCCTACTAACCTTAACATGTAGCCTGAAACCCAATCTAAAAGCCCATGGGCCAGCCTCTATCACTAGTTGCCTTAACGGACGAACTTGAAAATAGGTGTCATAATCAAGGGCACAACCCCAAGTTTTTAACGATACTGACAAAAAAAAAAATTCTTTACTTTTATTCCTAAATCCAAAAATAAATAATGTTTCATTTATTTGTGGTTTGAATAGTGGCATGCAAAACTAGCTTACAACCTCCTTAAATGGAGTAATTCTTGGTATGGCTAAAAACAAGTGAATTTTGATGGTCTTTTAGGAACCCAAGTCTAGTTGGAATGAGAGGGTTAATTAGAGACCATTATGGTTGTGTTACAAGCTAATGAGGCTGAGTTGTATGTAAGAGTGTAGATAACACATGGTTAATGGAGAGGGATTCACAAAATGTGGTTCGTTAATGCCATAATAAGTGAGACTCCCTTGGCGGCTCCGATCGCTATGGTTGCATATTCTTGATTTTGTAGATGGTGTATGGTATCCACAATCATGTCTATAGAAAAGTTAATGGGGAGGCTGATTTACTTGTGAAGAGGAGGGATCGCTCACAGTTATTGGTGGTCCATGGTTCTATGTAATATTTTTGTTAGACCTCACGATGTCTTTTATTAATACTATTTAATAATCTTCATTTAAAAAAAAGAAAAAAAAGCAAGAAAGAAAGAACTCTCTCAAAGTTACTACGACGATCATTTATTTAGTTCTTTCATTTATCAATATCTCTCCAAATTTTAATTTGCATCCTTCCAAAACACACTCAAATTTGGAAATGCTTCTTATGTCCGAAGGGGACTACTTCTGCTTATATGTTGGCTAAGAAAAATACCCATTTTGAGTGCTTTGGTTTTTCTTTTTAGGCTTCCATGGGTTATTGGGGTTGTACTGGCAAAAAAAAAGCAATGTTTTTGCGAATCTAAATAATGGTATGTTACTATATCATGAAAACCCCAATTGGAACTTCAAGTCTACTTGGAAAAGGGGTTGGGGTCGTGATGGTAGTACCTCCACACCTTAGTCATCAGGTTGTGGTTTTCATTCCCACTAACACCACCTTATTAATATTTGAAAATAACTAATTCCTAAACTATTTGAAAAAATAGATCTGGACATGTCTTCTCCATTGAATTACCCAAAAAACAAACAAAACTTCATGTCTAGTGGCGAGACAAACATACTCTCTATGTGAGACATGTAGAGTTTCCTCTTTTCTTGTATAGGCTATGATTCTAATCTTTCAAACCTAAACTAGATATTTCTTCAACAACAAAAAAAAAAACACGCTAAAACCTATCTACAGATTAGGAGAGCCTTGGTTTATTATGGGCATAAGGGACACAGCACAGTATCCATGGTTTTATTTAGCCAAGTTGGACAAAATAATATATTACAGAAGGTAAATACCAAAGTCTTATTGTCGGATTAAGACCAAAGTTGGATTATGGCTTTTTTGTACTACGTGTAAATGATCTTAGGAAAAAATTTATATGAGGTGTGAACCTTATACTGTGAAAATAAGGTGAACCTCAAAAATCCAGCTAAAATTGTTGTTTTGATGTTGAGAAACCTTATAATTAATCATCCGAAACTTGAAATGTATATGGAAGAAAAAAATATTGTTTTAAGTCTTAAAAGCAGTGAATCTTGTAACACGTTAGACCATCTATTTTCAAAAAAATTTAGTGTTTATAGATCTGCTCGTCCTTCACTAATTTTGGAGCTTTAAATTTCAAAATAGATTTTTTTACCATCATAAGTGTTTTTGGCACCCAAAACTACATCTTTTAGCAAGATCTAGAGGTACGCCTTACTGAAATTGTGTAAGGTTGACACCTTATGGAAACCGCACCCATGATTTTGTTATACATTTCATCAAACCCAAATAGAGAGATGCACAAGTTTTTCTTTCTATTTCATTAGTTTTGGCTTCCTTTTGTCACCTTTTGGCTACTCATAATTAGTTTTTATGTCTGATTTGTATGATAAGTGATACATTATTGTTAGTGGCACATACTTGTGTCCATCATTGTTAGTGGCTCTCATTGAAGGAAAAAGGTTTGAGAGGGCTGCAGTCTTAGCAAAATAAGAACTAAAGCTTCACCTCATAACTCATCGAAAATTACAATTCAAGCATAGGAAATCTTTAAATCGATCATATTGGCTCAAACATAATGGCTGTGAAAAAGAAAGAAAAGATTTCAAGTTTTAAAAATAGTGTCATTGTATTAGATTATCTAGATCGTCTATTTTGCCCTAAAAATAAGTGTTCAACGGTCTGCAAGATCTATAACATTTTTTGAGTTTCAAATTTTTATTGTTGGTGTTGACAATTGATTTTAGAGTCATTATAGAGATTTACGTTGCCAAATATACTTTCCGAACAAAGATCTGAGGTGAGGCTTTATTTTGTTTTCCTAAAGCCTAGGGTTTATAGAAACTTCATCCCTTATCGGAAGAAAACATACTTGGATGAAAAACTCGAAGAAGAAGAAAAAAAAGAGTACCTTCAATATGATAATCGCTCATCTCTATCTCTCGATGTAGCCACATGGGCTCGTGTGGTCACACACACATGCGTTGCATAATATATGGGCAAAATATTAATTGAGAGCCTAGATCCTTACAAAATCATTTAGGTGGGCGCCAATTAGCTTTTAAAGTTAATGTTTTTATTTTCATCTCACTCATATACGTCCTCAACAATTATTTTTAAAAATATCCAAATTGCTTATGTTTCTTGTTCGGAACCTTAAAAAACAAGGATATTTCATTAATTTGACTCACCTTGAATATGCAAGGGTACTCCCATTATTTGTTGGGATCTCTTAGGCGAGTCAATTTACTAAAATGTCTCTGCTTGTTTAGGGTTTCAAATTTTGAGTATATGTGTTTTAAGATAATTTTTTAAGGAGGTATTTGAGTGAAATAAAAATTGAAAAGATGAACTATTTATTATTGCTAACTTTAATGATATTGCGAGGGGTTACGACACCTTAAATGATTTTTTCCTTAATATTTATGAGAATTTAACATATCAAATATTTGATTTGGACTTACCGGATCGGGCTGAAAAACCACATAACCCAAGACTCTGATTCTTCAAAAAAACAAACAAGAACACCATTTTTATTAAATTCCCTGGTCCGACACAAGACTCCTCGAGTCAAACAAGCAATTCGGATCATCAGGCGGCCAAATCTACTCCCGATTCCGTTATTTAAAATACTAATATTTACAGCTTCGGATTGGGACCCGATGAGAGGTCCAACATTGATAGTGGCCAATTCTTTGAAGTGATGTAGGTGCGGTCCACGTGGATATTTGCCATGTTTCTATCTTAGATGGATGGTCGAAATCAAGAATCACTGCATCAAAAGAACATCCAGCCCGTCCATTCATACCACTATAGCCCATATGATATCTAATGGAATGTATAGTGGATCATGGCCCATGTACCACCTTCTCCTTCCCCACTTCTTCTCTTCACTTTTATTTTCTTTTTTAAGCAATCCATTCAACCCCTGTAGATATCATTTGTCCTAATCTTAGTTTTATTAGTGGGGTAATTTCCTCCCATAAAATCTCCATCCCACTATCCCCCACTAACATTATGCTTAATTATTTTTGGTTAAGGTACCATAAACCTTTTCCATTGTGTATAAAGAGCTAGGTTCGGAGTGTGCTTGACACACTCCTTGTGCTGTTTTAAGAAGAGCATAGGTGCCATGGAGCAACAACATGGGCCACATGATCACATCATTGAGCCCCCTCCTTCAAACGATGCAAATTATAAGACCCGAGGCCAATGGCTCAGGGCCGCGATTCTCGGAGCCAATGATGGCCTGGTTTCCACCACTTCCCTAATGCTAGGCATCAGCGCCGTGAGAGGAGACGCTAGATCGGTGGCTATTTCTGGAATCGCTGCTTTGGCTGCGGGAGCCAGTAGCATGGCCATCGGAGAATTTGTATCAGTGTACACACAACGTGATATACAAGCATTCGAGCGAGAGCGTCAAGGAACTCTTCGAACGATCAATGGTGATAAGGCAGACGACCCGTTACCGAACCCCTTTCGAGCTGCCACCGCATCTGCACTGTCATTTATGTGTGGTGCTCTGGTTCCTCTGCTATGTGGTGCTTTTGTACAAAACTATGTGGCCAGGGTTCTAGCACTTGTTGGAGCCTCTAGCTTTACTTTGCTGTTGTTTGGGTCACTAGGTGCTCACTTGGGTGGTTCATCGATCTGGCGAGCATCTTTGCGTGTGCTCTTTGGTGGTTGGCTAGCAATGGCAGCCACATATGGGTTCCTTAAGTTGTTTTGAGTGTTTCCCTAACTTGTTTTGAGTGTTTCAGTTGTGTGCCAAAGTACTAATGTTTAGTTGTTAGTGTCTTGGTGAAAAAGTTGTTGGATCATGCATGAGGTCTCTTATGTCTGTTTTGCACTAATGATATAAATAACGGGTGTGGTTTTTATAAGGTTGCAACCTTAAACAATCTAATTAAGACGCACCTGCAAATTTTATCTTCTTGTAATTTTGGTATAAAAAAAATATTAGGATTATATGGAAATCAATTTTTACATCTAATTATAAATTTTAAATTCCAAAAATGGTTAAATTCATGTCAGCCTATAAATATATGAAAATGTTGAATTTGGACGGTTTAGTTACTGTGTTGCAAGATGAACTATTTCTAATACTCAAAATATTTATTTTTTCCATATTTATACATCTCTATGTCGATATGATCAATTAAAGGGTTTTTCAGCATTCGAACAACATTTTCCTATGGATTTTTGATGTGCATCTTTAATTCTACATTTTAAGGTTGCAACCTTATATAAACTTTTTTCATAAATAAATATGTTGCGATTAAAAGTTGACAAATATATTGCTCATTAATAGAGGGTGACTTGTATTTTATTTTATTTTTTCTTTTTATTTTGACATGAGCCAGAAGTTATGTTGAGGATCCATCCCCTCTTTTTCTTAAAGAAAGTTAACACTTTATTTCAATTCGTTCAATCGAGTTACAATATTCAGCGGACATCAAAGGCCAAACAACAAAATAATAACAAAAAACCTACTCAATAAAATTAAAACACAAATCTTACACAACCACTAATTCTGTTGTACTCATCCTAGATTTAGCTAGTTGGTTGGCCTCCATGTTACACTGTCTATAGACATGTGCAAAAGAACACACCATATTTTCACAAACATCAAGTACCTAGGGGATCCGCCCTCCTAACCACCCATACCCCACCCTCATTCCCAAACGGTGACTTGTATTGGTATTTATTTGACCGCCTATAACATAGACGCACATTTATGGTTTCTTGTGTGTGCCAAGGCATTAAAACTTGTTTCCAGCATTAGAAATCTATGGGCAACTTCTAAAAAGAAAAGTATACAACGAGATTATTTATCTTTTGTACATGGTGGTCACAATTAACATTGACCATTAGATATGAAATCAGATGGTTGCATTTATTTCATTGACCAACCTCAAACTTCAAAAGAAAGTTTCTCGAACTAGCCCATCCCCATGGCTATTAAAGTTTGTAACAAATTCCCCAGCTGCCCATCCTAGTCCAACAATTATAGTAGCCCATCCCCATGGCTTCATTGCATGCCCACATGGGTGGGAGCAGGGGAGTTAGAAATCCTGGTTTGGCGACTCGATGGGTATAAAAACTCGTGCATGCCAATTCACAACTGCCTGGCCAGTTACAATGGCTACTAAGGCCCGCTCACCCATTGCATGGGTACTTACTCTTTCTTATGGCTATTACATAAGTCCAGGGGTAGTTACATGATTCAAACCCACTTATAACCATTGTAGTCTATACAATTGGTCAACTAGGTATACAGATAGGCCAGCTCTTGCATATGATATGTATCCATGTCCCTTCAGGTCAAGCTATCTATAGTCTAGCCAACCAAGCCGTTGTATGCGTTAGCCTAAGTCATCCCTGTATACCAACTTCCCTAAGGCCTCGCATCAAGGGTCTTTAGCCGCTAGCCCTGAAGCACGACATAAATTAGGCCTAAAGTTAAGAAGTTGATTATTCATTCTATAATACTTGTCAATATCCAAGTTGGCTAGGACTTGGCGTGTGCTCAATTTGGATGGTTCAGAACCAGAAACTGCCTAAGTTGTCCAAAACTTGTCCACTGTTTTTGAGAATTTCAATTTTGATATTTGAAATTAAATACTTTACAGGAATCATACATGGCTCTCGAGAAAGCAATAAGATCATTAGCAAATTTCTAGGCCAAGGCAGGTCAACGTTCACATACTTAAATTTCCATGAACCATAGTCGACAATACATATATCTATAAAAATGTACAGCTACATATGAAACTTTCAGTGTTTTAGTAACTAACACTAAGGCCACATCTAACTTAATCTAACACATCAATCAGGTTCAAAATCAGTTCATAGAGGACCCCAAGACCCAGAAGTTAACAAGAGATGAGATAGCAATGAAAACCCAAGCTGCAAAAGTTAGGGAACATGAGATCTGATATCGAGCACAATATTTTGGGGTACAACCATGATCAACCACTAAGGCCTGTGTCACCCCAGCCATGGAACAGGCCGCCGAGAGAGATAACACAGATAAAAGCTGCAAAAATAACAACACAAAACAATTATGCTATGTCTTCCCTAATTTAATAGGGGAAATATTAGGGCCAGCTTTCTATGCTTCCCCCACAATATAAAACTTATATACTTCCCCTTATCCTACCATCCATTCTGAATGGAGGGCTAAGATTGCCCCAATCACAATGTCACGTCTCTACATTATTTTATTTTTAATTATTTTTTTATAAACTATTTTGACACAAAATTTTGTATGTACAATCCTATATTAATCTTGCACTAGCAAAAAATGTAAAAAAATATTTTCAATAAAATAAAATAACCAAAATACCCTTGAAATTTTTAAGGGGTATTTTGGTTATTATATTTTATAAAAATTTATTTTTAATATTTTTTATAAGTGTGCCCCAATGAGAAGATGGCACGTACCAAATTTTATATTCATACAATTTGTATAAAAAAAACTAAAAATAAAATATTTTGAGACGTCTGATCTAAGATAAAACGGTGAGTGGCTCTCTTGATCAAAATTGGATGGCTGGATGGTAGGAGGAGCATAGATATTCTATGCTGGAGGGGAAGTATAAAAACGTTTCCCGAAATATTATATATCATCTTTACAAATATATAATTTATATGACAAACAATCATGCAATACTGATTGAACCATTAGAAGTGATTATGACTAGACTATTAGAAGTGAGCCAACAATAAAGTTAGATACAAGCTTCAACAATTTTTTAGAGGTTGTAATTGAAGTAAGACATTATTGTCAGCTTATTTTGAGATGTTGAATAAGAAACGAAAGATTGCTAGTCTAGTTTTGATTGAAATTCGTAGTGAGTTTAGAAAAAGGAAAATATATACGTACCCAGTCTACACCGACAACAAACATTAGGTAACTGGGATAGATGATTGCATGATGGGTGAAGGCGAAGAAAGCATCGATAACGGCTGCTACCGAGCTCCATGGGATCATCAGGCTCATGACCATTATCACGTAGCTGTCAATTCACAAATGATTTTTAAATAAATATTTGGCCAGGAAAGAGCTCTCTCTCTCTCTCTCTTTATTGCCATGGAAGTATTAAAACATGCACAAAAAATTGGAAGTACCCAGAAAGCCCCAAGCCCAAGGGTGGCAATAGCCGACCTGACCGGGCTAGCCTTGGCTCTGTACCAGCCCTTGTCTTCATGGGGCTGGCTCAGGCCCGGTTATGACCCTATAAGGGATGGCCAGGGAAAATCAGGCTAGCAATGGCCCTAGCCTGACCCTCGGTCTGTATTTCATGGCTCGAGCCCTACTCTTTTAGAACAGGGCCACTTGGCCCATTACTAGCCCCTGTGCCTCTCTCCTCTAAACCCCTTCTCTCTCTCATGAATATAATCGGCCTCTTTCATCATGGTAAATTACGTGAATACAAGCCCAAAAATGGGTTAGATAAAGATCGGGAAAGGGAAACATACATTCTAATTAATCATAGGGATCACATACAATGAGACCTTTTATCTTTACTATAAGAACGTTACAAGCACTCCAACTTATTAGATGTTGAATGGGATGGTTTGGGCTTGTCATAAAGTTCGAAAATTTTTTTTTTAACTTTGAGTCTTTTTAATAGCAGTTTTACAACCACCCAATTGACAATCCAAAAGACAAGAGTGAGTGTGATCTCTTTATACAATAAGTACATGGTCTCTTTGTACATTTTTCTTTAATGATATGGTTAGTGGCAACCCTGGCCCCTTGTTTTTTTTATAGATAACACCGGGCCGTGTAATTTTCTCGATGGGCATTATGAGTCGTATGTCCATCGTGTTAGTTTACTTCGGGAATTTCGGTGAATAAGTGATTTAAGAGCTCTTCAAACTTGGTGGGAAAATATGTATACCGGAAAATTATGCATAACCCCCTTGCCCATACTTTCTAGGCATAGCCCACCATTTAAATAAAAAAACTAACCAAATTACTATTTATTTTTGTAGTCATCCCTCAAGGAAAAAAAAAAAACTACTTTTTTGGATAAAAATACCTTCAGTGTATAAACCCACGATTCTCTCTAAAAACTTAAAATTTAAAATTTTAGAGGAAGAAACCATCTCAAAATTTTTACAGAGTAAAACTTTATCAAATTTTAAGTTTGTAGAGAGAAACTATCTTAACTTTTTTAGAGAGAGAAATTGCCATAAAATTACAAAGCCTTGAGAGAAAAGTAAAAGGATGAAAAAAAACATGGGTTGCTTATACATGGGGTATTTACGTTCACCGCAAAGCTATTTGGGGGTGGCTGCATAGATAAATAATAATTAGGTGAGTTGTGGGATTTAACAAGTACGGGGGACACCATGCCTAGAAAGTATAGTCCAAAAAACCTGTTATGCAGTGACAAATGTATTTTGACTTGATATGAGAGGCGTTTGGTAGATACTACTCCTAGGAAGAACTAACTTAGGAAAATGTTTGGATATGGCTATAATGTTATTATAATAAAAAAAAGCCTCATCTCGAAAACTCACCAAAAATTACATTTTTGGCATCAAAGAACCTTCAAATCGATCATGATGGCCTTGACCATTATGATAATATATATATGTGTGTGTGGAAAATGCTTCTGTGAGGCAATGGGCTCACAAGAAAGAATGAGCCCAATGGCCTAGATTAAATCTAGACCGATCTAACGATCACGAATGCCTGATAGTGTTTGAATTTTAATTTTTTTTTTTACAAATCCAACTTATTTGAAATTTTATACATGTGTCGATAAAAAATAGGTGAATATTCAATATATATATATATATATAATATTATAATACTTATCTAAACCATCCATTTCGCCATAAAAATAAATGCTCATGGATTTACAACTTCTGTATCATTTTCAAATTTCATAGTCAATGTTGGAAATTGATTTTAGAGGCACGGTGGAGATTTCCGATGTGTAAGGTGGTTTCCAAAAGAGGATTCGTTTTCATATAACCAAGGCCTTATAGAAAACCAAAAAAACTTCCTACCCCTGCAGGATTATACTATCCATTTACTCCTCAAGGCAAAACACGTACTAGGTGTACTTTTTAGATCTCAAATTTCAATTTCTGTAACCCATAAACTAATTCCAATTTACAATATTTCCCAAATAAATTCTCCATATACCAGAAAAAACTAGTGCCCCAATATTGAATGAGAGTGTCTAATTTTTGAAAAGCTAGATCTAAGTGTCGCAAAACTCAAAATTCAAAATTTTCCCTTTGAAAATAATTATAGAGTAATTCTTATATGGATCCCCAAATTTCAGACTAAAAAAATATTCCTAAATAGGTGTTTGAGGGAGAGAGTAAATGCATAGTATACTCCCGCTGGATCATAGTATACATGCCCCATAGGAAATGCATCCAATATCTTACTACACCAACTAAGAGACACTAATAAGAGAGCATAAAAGACTTCCTACTCCCTAAGGGGTCTTAATAAAAGACTTTCTACTCCCTAAGGGGTATTAATAAGAGAGCATAAAAGACTTCCTATTCCCTAAGGAGTATAGTATCTGCTTACTCGGGTATTAACAAGAGAGCATAAAAGACTTCCTACTCCCTAAGGAGTATAATATCTGTTAACTCAGGCAAAAACATATGTTAGGGAAAATAAATTTCAAAAATAAAATCATTATGTACTAAAAAAAGCTTATGTTTCAATATTGAATAGAAACCATCCAATTTTTGAATAGCTAGATCTAGGTGTCACAAAACTCAAAACTCAAATTTTTTTTTTTTAACAAAAATAATCATCTAATAATCCTTATGTGGTTAAAAAAAAAAAAGAACCAAAAATATGCCACCTAAAGAAGTGTTTTGAGCGAGGGAGTAGGTGCACAATATGCTTATGCAGGAGCATAGTATATGCGCTGGTGAGGATTTCGGAAATAAATTACATTATCAGCTTTGGAACGTGCAGGCTCAATTGAAAGAGCATTACTAGATTGTACTCCATAAAGAAGGCTCGTAGAAAGAACCAGGAGATGGCAATGAGCTGGGTGGCCCAGACTGGTTCAGTTGGTCGGGCCTTATAAAACTAAGGTCTGGCAACAAAATGTGGCCTCGGGCCAGGTCAAGGCCCGGCTTTGGCCAGGGTCTCGACAGGGCTGGCTTGATTCAGCAAGGAACTATCCTCCTTAATTTTTCTCTTTGTTTTTTATTTCTTTGTTCCATTTAGGCCCAAGTCGGGCCAAGCTTTGGTTGATCCTATAGGGATAAGAGCCAAGCCAAAGCCAGGGCTGGAGCAGCCCAAGCCCGGCCTATTCCTAACCCTGAGCAAGAGACCCAAGCCCGGCCCATTCCCAATCCTAAGCATGAGAGAGAGGGAGATTACCAAAAAGCTGTGTAGTCATAAAAATCAACACCCCTAGACATGATCATAAGTGCAGCTCCCGAGGACACTGTTTGGCCTAGGCGTAGAGAGAATCCCAAAATGGTGCCAAAAGACCCTGGAATTTGCTTCATCAAAAAAAAGAGGAGCATGCCACGGATGGTGGGGATTCGCTCCGTCGTGGAAAGAGTTTAATCCCACCGTCCAATCCTCACCTCCATGGCAAAAGAGCTCCAGATCCTTACAGTCACGTCCATGGAACTCCCGCTGTTCAGAGAGAATAGAATATTGTGAGAAGCTAAAGCAATGGGGTGATGTGAATTGGTCTAGATCAAAAATTTCGCTCTACACGTGGCACCTTAATAAGTTGAGAATTTTTAGGATCTTAAGTTTTAGGAAATGAGATTTAAGTCACTGTTCAAAAATAGAAAAATGTGTTTGCCACATTGAAAATGTTCCTATTTCTTAGTAGATTTTGGAGCTCACTTGGGGCATGGGCCTTGTGGAATTGGTCCTTTTTCCAATATTTTTTTTCATGGTGCAAATTTTGTTACTTTTCTATAAACTCATGTTCTGATCCGGATTCCCGTTCTCACTTGGAGCATGGGCCTTGGGACTTCGTTGGCAACAGTATGGGTATATGAGCTTGGTGGCAATAGACCCGATTTCACCCGGGACCTAACGAGATAGACCTAGGACGTACCGGGTACGGGTATGGGTCGAACTTTTGGATCCAATGGGTCGGGTCCAAGTCTAAAACCTGAACTCGAATACTATTCGGATATGGGTCTGGGTCGGGGTCCGGGTCCAGCCGGACCCCACCTGTTGCATCCCCTATTTCTGGACTTGTTGGCATTGTTACTGTGAAGCAGAATTGAGGTAACTAGCGCAAGGAATGAAGGCGCTACGTAGAAGAGGATGATCAAATGGATGCTATTAAATTGATCCCCAAATCCTTCTTATCGCCAAAGCGAAATTTACTCGGTACTCGCTGAAACTTTTATCCCCTTGGCAAACCCTACAAAACGAAATATTGGCGAAATCTACTGCAACTTTGCACCTCAAAACCCCTCAAAAAAGGAAGCCATCTCTATTCATGATCCTTGCAATCCATGGATCAAGAGCCAAATTCACCCTCAATTTTCTTTGCCATTTTGACTCAATTCCCGAAAGATACATTCGACTGAGAAAAACCTTTAAAACCCAACGAATTTCAGGCCAAAGGAGCATCTCTTCCAATCCTCAAGATTTCAACATCCCACAGATTCATAATGGCGATAAGTCTCTTAAAAAATCTGAAAATTTCCATTTTCTAGTGAAATCAAGCTCCCCCAAAACCCTCTCTCTCCAAAAATCAGTGGAACTTTATGCAAATGCAGGTGATTTACACAAAGCCCAGAACTTGTTTGATGAAATTCATGAACCAAGAATTCGGTCATGGACTTCTCTCATTTCTGGCTATAACAAATGGGGTCTCGCAAAAAAAGCCACTGAGCTTTATCATCAATTCAAAAAGGCAAAGAAGCTAGAACCAAATACCTTTTTTCTCTTGGCCATCGCTAGAGCATGCTCCTATTTGAAGGATCTCAATTTAGCACATGAGATCCACAACGATGTGAAAAGGCTCGGGTTAGAGAGAGATCTTCTCATGGGGAATGTCTTAATAGACATGTATGGAAAATGCAGGTTTGTCTGGGGCGCGACTGAGGTTTTCAAGGGCCTAGAAGAGAGAGATGTAATCTCTTGGACCACAATGGCTTCTGCCTATCTTCACTGTGGGCTCTCGAAAAAGGCTCTTGAGATTGTTAGAGAGATGCAGATTAATGGGGTTAAGCCAAATTCAGTTACTGTTTCTTTGGTTCTCAAAGCTTGCTCAGATTTGAAAGCGTTGAACCTTGGAAGAGAGTTTCATGGTTATGTTTTGAGAATGGGTTTGGAAGCCAATGTTTATGTGAGCAGTGGGCTTGTCGATGTGTATGCTAATTGTTTAGACTCAGTTCGAGCTCGCTTAGTTTTTGATCGGATTCAAGAGAGAGATGTGGTCTCATGGAATGTAATTTTAACAACTTATTTTAGGTCTGGTGTGAGTGGAAAAGCTTTTGAGCTTTTCAGAGAAATGAAGGCTTCGGGGATAAAACCGAATTTAGATTCATGGAATGCTATGATTGCTGGGTGTTCGCAGAATGGTGAATATGAGAAAGCTATGGAATTTTTTGCTCATATGACTAATACAGGCTTTAAGCCTAACAAAATCACAGTCACAAGCCTACTTCCAGTTTGTGCAAACCTAGAGAGCTTATGTCAAGGAAGACAGATACATGGGTTCGGGTTTAGGCATGGGCATGTGCATGAAATGGCCGTGGCAACAGCCATAGTCATCATGTATGCCAAATGCGGGCGCTTATCTTCCTCCAAAAAGGTTTTCGAATCGATGGGAGAGAAAGACACAGTAGCATGGAATAGCATGATCATGGGGCATGCCATGTATGGCCATGGCATGGAGGCATTGGCCCTCTTTAACCAGATGAGGGATATGGGTCTCAAGCCTAACAACGTTACGTTCACTGGTGTGCTTTCAGCTTGCAGCCATGGAGGCCTGGTTTCAGAGGGTTGTGCCTTGTTTCGGGACATGGGTCCATGCCATGGGATCAATCCTGATCGTGAGCATTATGCATGCATGGTGGATATATTAAGTCGATCAGGTCGGCTCGTTGAGGCCTACGAGCTTATAAAAACCATGCCTTTTGAGCCTAGTGCTGGAGCTTGGGGAGCTTTGCTTGGAGCTTGTAGGGTGTATAAGAATGTTGAATTGGGACAAATTGCAGCTTCTAATTTATTCGAGATAGAACAGAATAATCCAGGGAATTACATTCTGTTGTCGAATATTTTTACTGCTTCAGGTATGTGGGTTGAGGCGTCAAGGATCAGGGGACTGATGAGAGAGAAAGGGGTTCTGAAAACACCAGGAAGAAGTTGGGTCGAGATCAAGAACAGAGTGCACAGTTTCACAGTAGGGGATAGAAAGCACGAGGAAAAAGAGAAGATATATGCTTTTCTTGCCAAGTTATATGAAAAGATGAAGCTTCATGGCTACATGCCTAGTAGTGAGTTTGTCTTGCAAGATGTAGAGAGAGAAGAGGGAGAAGAGAGCTTGGGTTGGCATAGTGAGAAGTTGGCTGTGGCTTTCGGATTGCTCAAGGGAGAACCAGGTTTACCGGTTAGGGTTTTTAAGAACCTACGAATATGTGGGGATTGCCATGGTGCCATCAAGCTGATCTGTAAGATAGTTGGCAGAGATATAATTGTTCGAGACTCCGTGAGATTTCACCATTTCAGAGATGGGTCTTGTTCTTGTCGAGATTTTTGGTGATCTCTCCCTCTCATCCAAATTAATGTTAAGAGGAAGATCAACAAACCAAGCTTGGATTCGTAACTTAGTTTATTTTCCATTCAATCAAAGTTTACTTACAAATTCACCATGATCTAGAGAGAAGTGTCTAACTTGCAGAAGTTCCTGTAAATTGGGTCCCCAATTTGTGGCATGCAATGGTCTGCAGGGCTTGGACCCTTGATGTTTCTATACTGTAACATACATGAGATGGAGAGAAACGCCATCTAAATAACCTCTTGTTGTAAATGTTAGTGAGATGGCTAGACTGACCAATCCAGAGAGAGACCTTGTTAATACAAGTTGATCTAAAGAGTAAATTATGCATCAGAATGGCATGGTTCAATAGCTTAAATAACTTTTATGGACTCTCTAATAAATTATACTAAGCTGTTGTATTATCTAGCAAATTCAACCTTTGCATGCTTTAAAAGGGAACCACTCCTTCCTAACGCAGATTCGATACAAAAAGACTCATAACCCATGCAAAGAGAGAGAAACCAAAGCAAAAGAAGAAACTCATATTGCTACCCAAGCCTATCTTCTTCTCAGCCGTCAGTGCAGCTACAATTGCAGGCACACTCTTGGCCCTCATATCTGCAGGAGTCTCAGAGGAATCCCAGAGAGAGAAACAACAATTATCCCCAATCTCGCTCTACATTCAATGCCCCTAGTCTTTCAAACCAACACCTGGTTCGAGAGGGGAAGGGGGTGCTCTGGTCTTCTGCCACATAGTAACAGAGGCCAGAAAATACTTCTAAGGTTGCCCAAAAAGCCTAGGGTTTCATAATTCCAGCAGGCCACTTTGCAAACTCTGGCTTCAATATCGTATTTCTCTTTCTAGAAACACCTGAATATTTAGGGAGCCTGAGCATTCAAGCTAAGGATATGAAGCACACAAACAAGAAGGAATTTCAGGTGGTAGGAGGGACTGGTTATTTCATTTTTTGCTCTTGGGCTTGCAGTTTTCCAGTGAGCAGCTGATCCTTTCGGGCAAGGAAATGGGGCAATGTATCGATTGACAATCTGAGATATCCAGATAGGAATTGGAAAGAGTGATCGAATCGCCCATATTACATGAATGACATTGCATCTTAAGAAATACTGTACATCTCATAATCTATGGAGAAGTAAATGAACAGTATACAAAATATTCAATATAGACCATTTCTAATGTTTAAATGTAAAAAATGTTTTGTCCCCCTCCATTCATGAACAGGGCTGATGAAATTATCCGCATGTAAGAAATGCACAAGAATAGAGCGTGTTGACACCAAAAACCTTATCCTAATCAACTTCAACAAATATACACAAATAAAATAATGCATGTAATTGAATAGAAACCATCTAATTTTTAGATGGTGAGATGTAAGCGTTAAAAAACCTTAAATTTCATTATTATTATTATTTTTTTTTTTAAAAAAATATTCATCCAATGTTACCAAAATTTCAAATTAAAAGAAAAACCTCCCAAAAAAGTCATGGGAGTAGAAGTAAACTATGCTCCCGAGGGAGCATAGTATACATCCTCGTATAAGTACTAACCTTAGTAATATATGTTGATGGTGCATGATACAGTATCGTGCATAGATGGACAATTTTTTTTGACACGGTTTTGATTGACCAACAAGACGACCTTATCCGATCGCTTATCCATATTTGCACTCCTCTCACCTCATACAAGTACCAGCTCCATTAGAGAGGAGAGAAGGCCAGAGAGAGAGAGAGAGAGACGAGGGTTTAGAGAGAGAAAATGGTTGGCTCACTCCAGGCTGGTTCTGTACTTATGCAGCCAAGGAAGCATGGTGGTGGAGTGGAAATGAGTTGCAACTGAGTTCTAGAGAGAGAAAATGGCACCATGGCCAAAACCCAAACCCTAGTTTCTGCAACTCTTCTTCCTCATCCATTTGCCAACTTTCCGACCATACACTTTTTACAAATACCAAAATCAATTATACTTCATCTTCATCTTCCTCCTCTCTCATCTTCTCGGAAGCGCCCAATACGATCCCAACTCAAATCAAGACCTGCCGGAAGAGATCTCGACCGTCCACCCTCAACCAAGGATGAAGCCATTAACCAAGCCAGAACATGCCTCTTGAAAGCGCTTGAAAAGCCCCTCAATAACCCAAGAGTCACTGGAAAATTAAAGAAGCAGAAACAACCAAGATTCAGGCTTGAAGTTCCGGTCATTGATGAATCCCCTCAATCTCTCACGGGAATAGCTGTTGAACTTTTCGGAAAAATTAGACTCAAAAGGAAAGGTACGCCCGTTCAGTTTGTGTTGTTCTGGTCAGATTCGAGCTTTATCGATGAAGCTGATAGGGCACTTGAGCCATTCAGAACTGTAAAAAATGTCGAGCTTTCCACAATGAAAGCAGGGAATCGAGGTGGGTTTTCTGGATTGGGTGATGTGGTGGTTTTCATGGCTCCTGATTCTACCCAGCTTGAGCTTGTTGAAGCTGTTTGTGCAGAGATTGATGCAAAACCAGTTTTGATTTTCAATCCAAAGTGGGGTTTTGATGAAGAGAGTGACTTTGGAAGGATGGGTAGTTTTGTTTCTTCTTTTGACGTTATTTATTCGTTTATGGGGTTAGAGGTTAGAGGGGTTTTGAGTAAGAGAAGAGGGGTGGTTTTCAAGTGCGATAATGGAGGATGGGAGGTTTTAATGGAGGAAGAGGGAGAATTGAAGATGGTTTCGAGGCTTAAGAAGAGGCCTTCTACAGTGGAGGTTGAGAATGTTTTGTATAATTTGATGGCCATGAATTCTCCTGTCACCAAATCCATGAGGTTTTTGAAGGATTTGGTTTCTCGTGTCGGAGGAAGAAAGGAATAAGCGATGCAATTGATTTGATTTCTTTTCTATCCTTTTTCTTATGAACAATTGTTTTATACTATCCTGTGTGCTGGTCCGCATTTGTACAATATTCGGTCCAGAGGTAGAGGTGGATGCAAAGTGGTTCATCTAAAAACAATTGTAACTGAAGTTTCAAATATTTTTTTAATATAATTATTATTTTACATTTTTAAAATGTATTTATTTTTTAGTATTCATCTCCATATTAAAGATTATATATTCTCTAAAAATTAAGATCAAATTATAGTTTAAAAATATATTTCTTACTAAGCTCGCATTTCTATATGTGTTGGCTTGGTGGCATGCTAACCGTGTCTTTTTCTTATTGAGAGTGTGTAGAGGAAAATTATGGTTTATCGCAAAACCATTGTTGTCTTCGCTCGAGGGCCTTTTTCGAAATGGTGGGAAAAATGAAGTAATTTGACATTTTGACCGATTTGAATAAAGATTTTGGATTTTTTAAAAAATAATATAAATAAATAAATAAATAATATATATATATATTAAAACAATAAAATTTTAAAGAAAAGGCAAATATGTGCTTTGGCCATAGATCTCAAACTAGACAAAAGCAGACCTAATCACATAATTGTATTTGAAAAAGGCAATTATGTGTTACGGCCGAAGCTTCAATCGAAGAGGGCAAATTAGACTGAAGCGGCCTGAAGCAAGCCGAAGTTGATGCATTGAAGCTTCGTTTCGCTTCAATTTAGCTAAAAAATTCAAAGACTTCGGCATCTTCGGCTGAAAGCAAAGCGAATTTGCTAGCATTGCACTAAGCATTGGCGTTAAAAGTTTCCAATGTACTCATAAATAAAGGAAAAAAATTATATAGAGTTGAGGCTCTAAACAATTAAATTAGAGCACACCTCACAAATTTCATTAGAAAATGTTCTTTTGATGCTCAAATATCTCATATCGATGTCATGATGTATAGATATGAGAAAAAAATGGATTTCAAGTTTTAAAAATAGTACATTATGTAATACATATTTTTATTATCAACTTTCAAGATTTTCAAGTTTTTCATAAATTTGTTCGAACCACACTATTTTTGAAACTTGAAATTTATAATTAGAGATGAAAATATATTTCAAGACTATCACAAAGATTTCTAGTATTGAAACCACATTTCTAGATACTTTTTGAAAATGCACTTTACTCAAATAAAAGAAGATAGCTACAAAAATAAAAAATAAAAAAAAAGAATACGAGCAATACTCCCTACTTCCATAAATGACCGGATCCAAATAAAGCATAAACCCTTACCTCCTTTTCTCATCTTCAAGTCTATAAACTGAGCGAATTTGTCCGCGTTCACGGGGGGTATGTAATACATAAAAATAATAAAATTTAAAAACTAAAAATGTTATTTTTTAGAGAAAATATTTGAACTGTTGAATTTTTTTTTTTTTTAAACTATGATTTACGGGATCCAATTTTGGTGGACGGTGTAAATTTCTAAGCCCGCATGGTAACAGGTGCGGACGTGGACGCACCAAACAATTTTTTTAGTTTATTGATATAGAAAAAATAGGAAAACACCAACAACCAAGTTAACTGCTGAAAGAAATAAAAACTAAAAAGAAATAAAATAAAAAATAACACGAAAAATAAACAAAATGAAAAAACACAAAATTGTAGTATACATAAAGTATGGTATTGCTATATGTGGTGGATAATGCACGCTACAGTATAGTACATGAATACACATTTCCCTCGATGAGTGCAAGCATTGTCTAAGGCCTTCCACGTGGCAAACCAAGAACCATAACCAAAGTGACAAATGAGATTTTCTCCTATCCTATCGTTTATCCATCTTCACAACCAACCTCACATCAATACTCTCTCTCCTCGTATTAGAGAAGAGAAAGAAAGAAGAGGGTTTAGAGTGAGAAAATGGCTGCTTCACTCCCAACCTTGTATTTTACCCCATTCATCCATACGTCATAAGTATTTTAGGACACTAAATTCATCTTTAAAAATATTTTTTTTTTAAAGGAATACATTTAAATAAGGGTAAATTTTTTATAGTTAAGGGTCATCCTCTCATTGAAACTGCATATGCTCATTTATATGATGGTATGATTTTTGATAGAACAGGTAGACAAGGATTTATGTAGCCAACTCTACGATGATGAAATACCAAAAATATAAGTCATCTAATAAAAATACATATGATTTGCATTAGGTATTTTTTTTTAACAATCAAAGATACGACTCGAACTTTTATGAAAGTATATAACTTGGATGTTGGAAATTTTTAGGATAACCAAGAAGACGAATTTTTATCTTTCATTATTAAATTTTAAAAAATACGGATCGATTAGATTAATACACGTTTAAAAATCTCAAAAATAGATTGTTTAAATTGTATATTAAAAGATATAATATTTAATATATATATATATATGATCATTTTTTTTTAATACAAAATAATTATATTAATCTTATTTATTAAATGTGAAATTGGGTGGCCTGTCATTATTTAAATGGCGAAGCTCGAACTTCAAAAGAAATTTTCCCGTAACACATCCAAACTATCAAAATTCAGATCGGATAGGTTATAAATTGACGCTTTATATAAGGAAATGTGGATAGTGATTGTCTAATGGTATAGCGTCTCTCGCCTTACTTGACAGGACAGACGGAGAAAGAAGGCAAGGTGGTGCGTCAAAAATCAATTAAAATGGCAGTCTTCTCACCATTTTCTCTCTCTAAGCCCCCCATTCTCTTTCCAAAACCCCTCTCAATGCGTAATGGTCTTTTCTCACTCTACCTTAATTTTTTAATGAAGAGTTTAAAGTTCTCATTTTGCTGTAAAATTTTAAAGTTCTCATTTTTTCTGTAACTAATTGTGCCACTAAGTCATTGTCCTAGGAAAAATGGTGCTATTGTTTATCTATTTATTTTAAAGAAAACCATTTGTTTCTATGACGATACAGAGCAGAGAAACAGCCACGTTCATGGAGGTGTAACCTAGATTCTGAGGAACGTCCGTTAAATCGCCGTCTCCTTGCCATACGTGGCATCATGTCATTGGCTGGAGCTGTGCTTGTTAACGGGAGCCTAATGCCGCTAGGGTTGAGAGCAGAGGAAGAAGAAGCGGAAAGGGGTTCAGAGGATGAGGATAAAGGGTTTTTGGGGGAGATACAGTCACTGTTCGACCCCAATGAGAAAACTAAATCCGGAAAGGTTTCTCTATAAACTCTCTAATTTTATATTGTCCTGAATTTGAAGTGAATTTCCGCAAAAATTTGCCCATTGATAGAAGAAGTTAAGTTGAAATTTTGGCTGCAAAGATAAATTTGGATGCTTAAGATCTTATAATTTTATCTCATTTTAGTTTGAAGCCAAATTTTGCTTAAATTTAAAACCAGGATTTCTTTAGTAAATTTTATGGCGTTTTCTTTCTGTTTTTAGGAAAATTATAGGTATTTTCATTTGAATAATATCTTATTTCTCTTTTATAATTTTAAATGCTTCAGAAATTCCACACTGTTCAGACGACCTAATTGCAAAAGTTCAATTCCATAAAAACAAGATTGGGTTTTTTTCTTGATAGTTAAATGGCATGAAATATAGATCTGGGTCCTAGCTGTTTGTATATCTCCAAAAAAATTAATTGAGCAGAACCCATTCTTTCACTTAACTAGTTACACAATTTGTAAATATCATGCATATATGTAGTCGCCCCAAAACAATATCATGAATATGTTTTGCAGTGCTTTAAGACTCCTCTGAGTAACTCAGCCTCACCAGGTTGGCAAGCCGGGTTGGGGTGCCCAACTTGCCGGGTACCCAAATAGGTAAAAAATATTTAAAATGTTAAAAGATACAAAAATGTGAAAAATACGAATATATTTATGAGAAATATGTTTTTATATGATTTTGATGGTAAAACTGAGTATGGAACATTTTTATCTTTTTCTTTTCTTTTGATTTTTCTGAATTATTCAAGGTATAAATCAAAATTTTCAGTAATCGATCTTTTACGGAATTTTTTCATCTCCTACAGTCTTTTAATGATCCCCTATCACGTATTGTATTTGCTAATTTTTTAAATTTTTTAACAAATTTTTTACCTCTTTTTGTATTTTTAATCTTATTTTTGGGGTGAGCAAGACAGGGGCGAGCCCACTCTGACTTGCCCAAGTAACTTTTCTGGGGTTATTCAGAAACATTTTGTTAATGTATAATAAAAAAAAAGCCTTTGTGGGTTTCCTCATTTTCCCTAATGCTTTATACCATTCAAAAGGTGTTGCCAAAGAGCTACTTAAAGAGTGCGAGAGAGGTTATAGAGACTCTAAGGGAGTCATTAAAGGAAGATTCTAAAGACATTTCCAAATTTAGGAAGACAGCTGATGCAGCTAAGGAATCGATCCGCAAATATTTGACTGGATGGAAGGGCCAAGAATCAATAGTGAAAGAGGTATGCAATTTTATCCAATGTAATTTGTTTGAATTGGTTTTGAAGCATGGTTGTGAAATACTGCATACCGCTCCATTCCATTTTGTTGAGATTGTTTCAGTCTAAGTTGTCTTTCAATTTCTTTTTATTTTATTTTATTTTTTAATTTCTTTCCGGTTCTTCTTTATTTCTTTTGAAACTTGTGACAATTAAGGTAATTGCTTCTTTCTCAAGGGACTTATGAGAAATATATGTACAATAGCATTAAATATTGTTGAAAATTTGACAAAACTCTTGCTCAGTTATGTTTCTTAGATTTGAATACATAACTTCTAGCCCTCATCTATGATATGATTACATTGTCTTTGGACCAAGGACACAAGGTTCAAATAGTCCTCATCTTCATATGTAGGTTAGGAGTCTCCTCCCTTTCTAGTGTATGCTTCTATCGAACCTTTGGCGACTTAGTCTGATTTTACAGATAAAACCCCAAAATTGAGCTTTATATGAAGATGCACTGGCACTCAATGGAATCTTCACAAGAATCAAAGTTTGTCTTTAGTTGAGGACGAAAATGCCATATTGCAAAGCTTTATATTAACTTGACCACATACTTGCTATCATGCTTCAGCTTAAAAGTTTGGTTCTTGGATTAAAATGGGATACTAGAGAAGAACATTATTAATGGGATACTAGCAATCTCGAGCTTTAACATCGTAAAAAGTTTGGTTCTTGGATTAAAATGGGATACTAGAAAAGAGAGGAATGGTTGGGTTTGATTTGGAATCAAATATAAAAGAATCTGTGAATCATGAAATAGGAATGGGTTTTTTGGTTATCAGGCAATTAAGCATATCTTGGTGACTCACAAAATTTGATTGTTTGTGTATTTTGTTTTATTACATATAGAATGAAATTATATTTCATTGCATATTGAATGTATTATTTTTGTATTTTGTTTTATTACATGCTGAGTGATATAGCTTTTTCAATCTCTTCTGCAATTTCTGGTCTTGAAAGTCTTGGGTTTTGATTCTTAGATAAGCTTCCTGCAATGACTGTTTTGAAAGTCACATATTTAATATACTGCCTTTGCATTTTGTTTTCTTACATACTGAGTGGTATAGCTTTTTCATTTGATGATTTTTCCATCTCTTCTGCGATTTCTGGCCTTTTGAAGTCCTGGGTTTGGATTTTCAGATAAACTCCCTTCACCGACTCATTTTAAATATTACATATTGAATGTTGTATGCTTTTACATTGTTTGTTTACATACTGAATGATATTGCTTCTTCATTTGTTGGTTACTCCATCGCTTCTGCAATTTCTGGCCTTGAAGTCCTGGGTGTCCTGCAATTAGTGTTTGTGAAAATTTCTGTTTGATGTTTGAAAATCAAACTCTACAGGAATCATACGTGGCTCTTGAGAAAGCAATCAGATCATTGGCAAATTTCTACTCCAAGGCAGGTCCATTTGCTACATTGCCTGAAGATGTAAAGTCTGATATTTTGGACGACTTGAACACTGCCGAGGCTTTTTTGTAGCCCATGATCAGAGTTCATGAATCACAATAATGATACCTTTTAGAGCATAATATGGAGGCTGGATGGACAGACTACATATTCTTGACAGTCGGTTTTGGTCAGATAAAAAGAAATTGTGGGTTTCATCAGCTGGCTCAATGGTGAAGTGAATATTTATTTATTTATTCTTGTACTAGTATATTTGACCAGTTTTGTTTAGTTATAATTGTAGAACGTATAGAGGTTTATTTTTATTGGGAGAGAAATCGAATCCTAAGATTTTCTTATCCTTCAAAGAAAACCATTCGTGAGAAATGAGGGCCAATATGATGCATGTATTGCACCTTCGACGGCGAGAGTCCAAGTAGCCGAAAGCATCACTGGCTTATGCACCAGTATCACTAGCGATCTAGACTGATAATTATGGTAAATACATGAACAAGAAGACTATTACTATACTTGTTGGTTTTATGGTTGAATGGTGACATCTGCATAAAATTATTTCACTTGATTGTGATCGTTTAGTCTTTTTTCTTTTAAAATACATGCTCATGATTATTTGCATTTTATGGTAATTTGGTGAAGAGATCATGTAAGCATGCATAGAACAACATTGCTTCTTTTTGGGTTTTCACTAATCATAATATTTCTAGTTTAACGGTTTCATTTTATTGGATTTTCTATATTTAATTGAGTTTAATTGTTGTATTTGTTCTTTTTCTGCTGCATATTCCCTATGACATATTAAGCTAGTTTTGTTGTTCTTTTCATTTTAAGTTGCTCTTTTAGTAATACGATATATGTTTGTCAAGATTAAATACATTTTAATTTATTTATTTTTGGTTGATCTTTGTTAGCCGACCCAATTAGTTGGGTAAAGAGGCTCTGACGATGATGATAATTGGTTGATCTTTGTTAATATTTAATTAAGATGGAGGCTCGAATTACAATTGAATTATTTATTTTGTTTCGGAATCATGCTCCTTTTGATCTCCTAGGTATCTATTATATAATCGAAAAAGCTTATATACGGTTGTGATACTATTGTAGCAAGGTGGACCTCGAGAAGGAGAAAAAAAGAATCGGAGAACTTTCCAATTGATAAAGAATTCTAAGTCCTGGAAATTTTTTGGGTTTTCTAATTTCAAGCGTTTATATCTTCTTGATCTAGGCTATTTTTAAAATCTTAAATTTATAACGATAAATAAAAAGATATTTTCAATCCATCATAAGGCTTCCGATACTAAAACGACAGGCTCCTAGCAAATTTTAGAGGTGCGCCTTACTTCTACACCTCGAAGAAGGCACCTTATACAAACCTCAGCATTCCATACTACATAAAAAGTATTGCACATATACATGTCGGGTAAGAGGTCAGTTCGACCTTGGCCTAGATGTAGACCGGATCCAGTAAAGTCCAAAATGGACCTAGACCCAAACTTGATTCATGTCGAATCCAAGTCATTTGAACTCGAACCTGATTCATCAAGTCCAATGTTTGGGTCACAAGCCAAACTTTAATCGGATTGATTTGTCGGGTCAGCGGGTTGAGACCCCATTGCTGCTCCTACAATCATGCTTGGTCACAATTGAGCATGAGAGAACGACTGCTGAGTTCACAATGATCTCAGGGAAAATGGAAGACAGACAGGCTCAGTTACAATGAGCTTGATAGAGCGAGATTAAAAACCGAGACTAATGAGCTGTAGACTAAAAGTAAGCTCAAACTTATAGAACGCCCCACACCAATCCATTATTTTCAATAAAATTCTCAGAAAGGGAAATTTTTTATTTGAATTTCTTTAGTCCCATGTGTACTAGACTAGTGTTCGGGGTGGCAATCGATCGGGTCCGGGTTGGGTCACCCGGACACGGACCCGAATAATATTTGGGTTCAAGTTTTTGATATGGACCCGACCTTTTACGTCCAAAATTTGGACCCATACCCAGACCCGAGGTCAGGTCTACCCGTCGGGTTCCAGATCTAGTCGGGTCCATTGCCACCAACTGAGACATGTGGGTTATGTCTGAGTGTTTCTTTGCTCTGTTTTTACCATCATATACCCATACTATTGGCAACATTTACAATAATGTACAATATTTATGAATACCTACATATATCCACATTCTCTTATTTCACATAATAACTACAAATTTCTAAGAAACAAACATATTGACAACATTTATGAATACCCACATACACCAATACTGTTTGGGTCCGGGACGGGTATGGCTGGCCCCATATCCTAATACCATGCAGGGCTAGGTTTTGGACCCAGACCTGACCTATCAAGTCCAAAAGTTGGACTAATACCCAGACCCGAGGTCGGATCTACATGTCGGGTCCCAAGTCTAGTTGGGTCCATTGCCACCCCTAATTAATGTAATTTTAGCGGCTAAAAAAAATAAGGTAGACCCTTCTTTTGTGTGGCGGAACAAAACAGCTTGTATTGAGTAAAGCTTGTAGGAATGCGGGCTTGATAATAAATATATATTTTAAATATAATACTTTTTAGAGAATATATAATCTTTAGCATGGAGATTATAAATATGAATTTTTTTTTTTGAAAGCTAAACATAATAATTATATTAAAAAAAAATTTGACCATTAGTTACATTTATTTATTTTTTTACATGGAGCATTTATTTGCATTCATCTTTAAAATAGATGCTTTATACCTCTGGACTGCATATTGTTGTAATAGGGTCCAGCCCACATATTGATGAATAGGGTCCAGCCCACATGAAACAATTTTCCTTCCTTTAATGCACAAATGTAAATGTTATGGCTCTAACTACTAACTACCGTCCAGTAATTGGATGGGCGGTGATGAAGGGAATTGGTCCCAAGGACAACCAGACTAGCTTGTCCACCCTCTCCATCGCTCTCCATCCATCGATTGTCGATGCATTCCACAATTGATTAAGTGATAGACATTTGTACCCTACACTCCCTATGCTCATATGGAAGCAACCTTTTGAGTATGGCAATTGGCAAGCATCGAAAAGGAAAATTTTCAAATCACATGTTTTATGTGCTTGAAAAAATAATGGCTTGAGGTTGAACAAGAAACACCCAATTTTAGAAGGGCAAGATCGAAGAGTTGAAAAACTCAAAATCTGCTTTTTTTGATTGAAAATAATCATCTAACTATTGGATCCAAAAAATTCAAACAAAATAATCCTCAAAAGTATCTAGTTTGCTCAAGGGAGTTGATCTACAGTATGCTACCACACGAGCATGTTATTAGGTGTGGCAACGGACTGGGGACTCGAGAGGTAGAACCTATCTGGGTCTTGGTATACGTTCACAAATTAGAGCCGGCAGTTCGGGTCTACGTCCAAATCTTGGATCGGAATACTATTCGGGTAATATTTTTTGGGTTCTAATATATAAAATATATTTAAATATATAGATATTTTAATTTTTGAATGATTGGGTTTGGGCCTCACACTATATTTTCAGGTCAGAGTTCGAGTCCTACGTGTTGCCACCCCTACATGCTACACACTCTTAATAATTCAATCATTTTAGTGTAGAGGCCCTGCCTTTTTGGTGCATTACGATGGTACCCAATGTTATTGAGATTGGATTTGCTGTGAGGTATAGTCTAATTAAACCTAGTTGGATTGAACCAAATCTTAAATAAAATAAATAATAATAACCATGATTCAAAAATATAAAATATATTAAAAATTACCTCTAAATTTATATCCAGCCAAACCATTCTCGAACTGACGCGTCAAATCCGATCCACATAACTGAAAATTTCTGAAATCTCATCCGATATGTCCGAAATTTCGTCCTACAATTTTCAAAAACACAACCGAACAGGGATTGCTAAGGCCGAGACAAAAAGGCAGGGATTAAGGTTAGATTCCCAGCAAGATGCTTTACCCTACCCAAAAACAAATTAATTTAACAAAGCATTTAAAAAATCGTAGTGAAACATAAAATTCATTGCAAACCCAAAATCTAAATTAACACAGAAAAAAAAAAAAGGCTAACCAAGATGTACACTAATTCGTTTTTTTTCTAACAAAGAGATGTATACTAATTCAAGAGGCAAATAGAATACAATAATAATGATCAAAAGCATTAATGCAATTTAATATACATTCTAAAAAACCTGTGAAAAACCTATGTGGATCGGCGGTCCTGATGGTGACTTGGACGGATCAGTGTGTTTTTTAAAGCCTCTAATCCTTGCATAGAAGGAGAGCATACACCATCAATGGAATTTACAGAAAAGGAAACCCACATTAAAAACCATTTAATTAAAAATACTAATGGCGGAATTAACAGTGAGCTTAGCTTAATCACCTCTCATTTATGAGTTTCAGCAAACCCAAAACAAAAAGCCATTAATTCACCCACCTGCCCCCATTGAATGTGCACGTTAAGAAAGCACGCCCCTCATTAAGTCCTCTTCCTTCTCATTAAAGCTCGTCCCTTTTCGTCAACGAAATTTCGCCACCACAAAAAATCAATTTTTCGCGGTGGCGCAGTTGCATTGCTCCGCCCTGTCACAGCTTCCACGGCCGCACCGGTGGGGATTTTGGCCTCCATCGCCAAAGCACGCCACGTGGCTGCGCAGAAGCTCACTTAATTCGCCGGAGATATGATGTGTCACGCTAGCGACGATTGAGCCTTTCCGGTGACAGCAGGGCTTCAGGGTCACCGCATCTCAAGCGACTGGACGAAATGACATTGACGGGCCGAAATATGGGGCTCGTCATGGAGCGGCTCCGCCTCGACGATCCGCCACCGAAACGCGAGTGAGACTCCGATAGAGGGAAGAAGCCTGCGTTACTGAGCGAGCTCCGCCTCCTGAAAAACGGCGACCTCAACCCCCTGTAGTAACGGAACGAGAAAACCCTAGCTTTGCTTGAGCCTGTGAACGGGGACGTCAGCCTCTTGCTCCACAGCCCACTGCCCCTGGAAAACCGCCCCGGCGATGATGTCAGATTCCGCTCAAATCCAAACGAATACGATCGTTTCAGCAAAAAGTTACGTCGTGTGTGGCCGTCTTCCCCCGCTTGTGCGTCATTTTCGGGCGACCCATTCACGACAGTGATCTCCGCCAGCGTGTCGGGTTCTGTTGGCTGCCGTGGTGGCGGAGACAGGATTCCAGCGAGAATGACATCATCGAGGCTGGGCCTTATCCTTGCGGCCATGGCCGGGACGAAGGGAGACTCCAACGGGAGGAGAATATTCCGGCGTGGGTAGGAGTATTCCGGCGGAAAGATGCCTGCCCGGCAGAGGGGACAGTTGGCGTGGGACCGGAGCCACATGTCGATGCAGTCGGTGTGGAATACGTGGCAGCATTTGGGGAGGACGCGTAGGTAGTCGTTCTCTTCAAACTCCAGGAGGCAGACGGGGCAGTCACGGCTCCCGTCCGTCACGTAGCGGTTTCCATCGGCGTAGAGGAAGAGAGGGATGGTCTTGATGGCGGTGTCGTCGAGGCCGTACGACGAGAAGATCTGGACGGTGGCAGTGGCGTCGTGGTGGCCGTGGAAGATGACGGCATGCGTGTCCGGAGAGGAGTTGCCCGAATCCGGCCCCCAGCCGCGGCGGCGCCTGCGGCGACGGCGGAAGATGCGGTGGAGCTTGGATAGGAGGCGGCGGAGCTGGGGGAGGAGGTGAGCCGAGATGAGGCGGAAGTAGGCGACGAGGAGGAAGGCGGCGATGACGGCAATGAGCATGGCGATGAGTTGGGGGGAGAAGCTCATCATGCGCATGGATGGCGTGGAGTTGCTGTTGCCCTTGATGGAGGGAGAGTGGACGGTGGAGGTGGAGGTGGAGGTGGAGGTGGAGGTGGAGGTGGAGATGGAGATGGAGGGGGCTGGCCCCCACTCAAACTCGTAGGTCGGCAGCTTGTGTGGTGGTGGCGCCATGGCTTGGCCGTGGCCGCAACGCCTCTCTCTAACTCTAGGTGCAGATATGGATGCAAAAACCACCACTCTATGTAGCTGTCTCTCACTACTGCAAAAAGGTATTCCCTCTCTAAAATTCTTGATAAAGAAGTGGTCTCTCTGAAGGTGCAAGTGATGCGGTCTCTATCTTAAATTCGGGCCTCGGGCGTTGTCTCTCGCAACCCAAGCAAGCAATCCCACTCTCTTTCTTCTCTAAAATCCCTTTTTTGTAATCTCTCCCTTTTGTCCCTGCAACTCAGTATCTCTGTTTCACTCACTCACTGTGTAGGCCACTATTCTCACAACCAAAGTACCTCAAGCCAAATGTCGACACTCTCCCTCTATAATATATCCCTCACTTCTACTTCTACTTCTACTTCTACTTAGAGAGAGAATGAGAGCCACTATTTTTCCACACGTGGACGTCACCATTCAGGATTGAGATTGAGATTGAGATTGAGATTGAGGTTGAGGTTGAGGTTGCAGGTCAAGTGCTGATAATTTGTGGAATTTTATAACGAGAGGGCCACTTAATTTATATATATAGTAGGAACGAAACTGCCCACGAACTTTTCCGTAATGACAACCATGACCTCACGAACTTTTCTCTAATGGCAACTATGACCTCACGAACTTTTCCGTAATGACAACTATCACCTCACGAACTTTTCCGTTCGCCTGGCATTGGACCTTCGTTCATATAGGATGCATGGGCTTGGGCTTGGGCTAGGACCTCGGTTTGGCGATGGCCTTGGGCTTGAGAACCTCATTTTTGTTTGATGACAGGCGCAAAAATGAATTGATGGACTTAATGCTCTTTTTTTTTTCCGAGTTTTCGTTTGAAATCATCGTGCTACTCCAAAAAGTGACACTTTTAGTTCATTTATATGTGGGAGTTAACATCCTTAAAGAGTGCTTGCATTTAAATGGGGTTGCAAATTGTTAAATTGTTTACTTGCCCCTTGTTTTTTTATTGCATAAAAGGAGAATAATACAATTAAGAATGGCAACGGGCCGAGCCAACAACAAATTAAAAAATAAAAGAAAAAAAAAAAACTCATTTTTCAATTTTGAGCATAGTATGCGTGCTCATCAACGATATGCTTACTAAAGTTAAATTATTTACTTGCCCTTTTTTGTTTTTTGGTTGGTTTAATGTGAGAAAACGTTGCCCATCTTTCGGTACGATGTCCGTTTGTTTAAAAAATTTGGAATTGGTGCCTACAGGGTTCAACTTGCTACGCCGTTGGATATTTTTACTCCACTTGCTTTCTCAAAGTTTGGAAATGTGATTTGAAAAATTCAACTTGCTTTCCCAAGTTTGGAAATGTCATTTGATAAATTCTTCAAGGAGTTATTTTTGTAAACAGTATGTATCGCACCTTTGATGAGAATGCTTTGTCGTTTGATGGAGTACTCAACAATATCACTCAAGGTTCAAAACGTCAACTCGTACTCGGGCCCTCGAGAGGCGATTTACTCGGTCGAGTCCGAGTTCTTCAGCCCAATCAAATTTTTTTTTTAAAAAAAGAAATTCACGTAAAATAATTACGTATATATAATGAGGAGCACCCAACAGGACGTGGGATCCAATCTCCAAACCTTTTAGGTTGCGATTTCTATTTTTATGGGTGGCGTATTATTTTAACTCTGTGTTTTCTTAGTGTATGGGTTTATTTGGGAGTTCTTTTTTTTCAAAACTCTCTTAAAAATATATATATTTTTACTCTGTATTTCGTAATGGCTTGGACTTATATTTTAACTCTATTTTTATTAATGGTGTGGTTTTATTTTAGAGTTCTTTTTTCCATAACTCTGTTAAAAAATATATTTTTTAACTCTATATTTATCAATGGATTGGATTTATTTTGGAACTCCTGTTTTCATAACTATCTTTAAAAAAAAATCTTATGTCTCTTTTTTCACATGCTAATGTTGTTACCTCTTTGATGTACAAAATGAGTCGATGATGGCGAAAGAAAACCACTTATCCGTATAGGGCTTTTGAAGCTGATTTCAAAAGCTTCAAAACAAGCAAAAAATCTTCTCATTTGGTGCAAAAATAAGCAAGAATAATGAGGTTTGGCGAGAAAAAAAAACGTGCATAGAACTCTAAAACCTAAAATTTAAGGGGATTAAACTTGATAAACACGAGAATCATTAGAGGGCTTTTGATGATAACTCCAATAGATTGAAAAAAAACCCACAATCAATCAATTTCGTAGATAAATAAAAAAGAGCGGAAGAGATTGACGGATTTTTTTAAATAGTGTAATAAAGAGCAAAAAGTACCTTGCCTTGAAATCAGTTTAGCTACAAATTTTTTTTGAGGATTCCCTTTTATTATGTGTATAGGGAATCTAATGATGTAACTGGTATTCTTGCAAGAAGGGGTGTTGGTCTCTCCTCGTTCATGGTTTCCGGAAATGTTTTTTTTTTTATTAATCTCCTTTCATTAATAAAGTATATTAATGTTGTTAGAAAAAATGTCACGTTCTAGATTTTTACGGGAAATGGTTCTCAAGTTTGAGTAACAACTAAAAGAAACGGATTTATCATGCTATTCTAGACAAGTTGCGAGACCCAGCAAAAAAATCTCCAAGGAGAGGTAATTATTTATAAGGGATCTTCAGTACAAGCAAACGTATAAATGGGCATAAAATGGCTTTAATATCAAAAGATTAAAAATCATTTCGAAAATTTGTCATGGAAAAACATTAGGTGACCCAGAAGGACCAAAGGTTTTGATTAGGTCAAACTATAGTTATCAGCATTAGACCCAATTTGTGTTGGACCAGTTGAATAGTCAACCAGTGCTTCGCTGCTCTGATCTAGATTAAAAATTGGATGTAGTAAAAATTAGTGAAAACTATTGTTTGAACCGTTTTGACCACCAATCTTATATGTCGTTTTTAATCGGTTGGATTGTCCAAATAAAGTGGGCAACTTTTTTATTAATATATCATATATTTTATACTGTTACTCATATTTCTAATATTTTAAAATTAGTTCATGAGCTGTCATACCGATTTTGATTAGATTAGACACCTCACAAATTCAAGACAATCTGATACCGATAACACTAGGTCAAACTGCTAGTTTCTTGCTCACCCAAAACAAAACAGCTAGTTTCTTCTCATTTTTTTTTTTATCAGTGAAATGTAAGTCAAAACACTTAAGACGGTTTATTGGAACCACAAACCATGTTATCCTATACGCTTTAAATGGTGTTTAGTTTTCGCCAAAACTGGTAGGTGCTCGTTCGATTGTCCAGCAGAATCAAGTTAAGCCTTTGCGCATATTTGTAAAGTGAAAAAGATAAAATGATGTATAATTTGGCACTCTTGTAAATCTTTTAATGTGGATCAGTATCTCATAAAATTATAAATTGTTATTTTCCTGAAATACAGTAAATTTCATGGCTGCTTTTATGAAAATTTAATTATATAAGTCTTATCCTTAAAATGTTTAGTAATATATTCATTTTAACTGATGGATTTTAACTGGTCCAGTGATTAGCCTCCTTTCAGTTTGGGGCTTCTCGAAGCCATTGGGGCTTCTCGAAGCCAAAGACTTCAAGAATAAAATTAGCTTTCTCGTAAGAAAATCAACAGGCGCTATATCGATGACTTTGTATAGATATAATATTAGCTAAAATAGTTTGTGCTCCTACAAGAATATATTATCCTTTTACTCTCACGGATTAAACCCACTCTAGGAGTATTTTCAAGAACTTTAATTGAATGGATTCTCCCACTTGGTCTTCTTCTCTCGGACCGAATGCTACTGCAGGAGCATAGTTATGCTCCATGGATATAAATGTCCAGGGTATGATTTTAAAATCTGTATATTTTTTGTTTTTGGAATTAGGGGTGGAATTGGACACAGACTCGACCCTGGACCCAAGGGATAGATCCGATCCAAGTCCAGGTATGAGTTTAAAAATTCGATCCAGCAAGTCGGGTCCGGGTCCATTAATAATTTTTGGTTCTCAATATACGAAATATATTTAACTATAGTTAAATATCTAGATATTTAATTTTTGGATCAGGTTTGGTACATTTTAATTTTTGAGTTAGGTTTGGTTGGATCTGGTACGGGGTCTGGGTCCCACGCTATTTGGGAATGACATAAGATAAACCGAGGATTATCTAAATATTTTGAGGTCACAAAAATCCCCAAGTGATTTGGGAGCATGATTTGGTCCAACGGGACCACTACATTGGTGGCTAAAATTAAATGCATCTTGGACTCTCGTCGTTTTTATTAGATGGGCTTTACTACCAAAATGATACTGCTCTCTCTCTCTCTCTCTCTAACTTTCAGAGGCAAGATTGGCAATGGAACCTTGTGTGTGATTTTAAGAGCTCTAAAGTATAATGTTAATGAGATTGATTTCTTTAGCTCCCAATCCCATTGCCTTTTGTTAACGTCAAAAATCAACCAATCTCTCTCTCTCTCTCTCAATATACACACACATGAGTAAGGTCGGGACTGGTTGGGTTTGGTTCGGTCAACTTGGATTTCGACCAAACCTGAGTAAGTTTAGGTTAGACCAAGACCCAAGTTGGGTCTGTGTCAAATGGATCCGAACTCGGGTTTAGAAACAAAGGATATGGGTAATGATTTCATGCCACCGTTGTATAGTAATATGATGCAACAACTTTAAAAAACTATCTTATGACCATTTGTTTGATCCAAAATTTGATATATATACTCTTTTCATTTTAAAATTTGATATATATACTCTTTTCATTCTAATGATCGATCACAAAAAAAGAAAAAACTGAAAACACAAACTAGAAAGTAGTTTTTTAACCAATTAACATAGGACGTTCATTTGATGAGATGCTTAGATCTAGATGTTAGAAGGATTTTTTCATTTCCAAATTTTTTGGATGGGTTTATTATCATTAGATGAACAATGTTAAAAAAGAAAAAATGATTTTGAATTTATAAAAGCTAAGATCTTGAAATTCATTTTTGAAGGAGAATCATTTTAACCATATTTAAGGTTCAAGTTGAACTTTTTTTGGGGAGATTTATTATTGAGATGAAAAGAGTGTGTGTGCAAAAATTGGGATCATATAAATACCACAAACATGGTTTTCTAGAAGTGTCGTTGCATTATACTATGATACAACTATTGCATCGGATCATTGCTATATATATATATATAATATTTTATGATACATATTTATTATATATTGGAAAAGGTCTATATAAGGACGAAGCTCTAAACAATCAAATTCAGATGCACATTAAAAATTTCTGAAAAAAATTTGTTTCGATGTTCAAAAATCCTCAAATCGATCATCTCAACCTCAAAATGTAGGAATTGATAAAAAATTGGATTTCAAGTCCTGAAATAATGCATCTTATAGTGCAATGTTTGGACTGTCAAGTTTCAAGATTTTCTATTGTTCAAAAATCTCTTTGCTCTACAGTATGTTTTAATAAAATTTATAAATATATATATATAAATAAATTTTCAAGTCATCACAAATATTTTCAATATTGAAACAATATCTTTTGATATTGTTTAAAAATATGCTTTATTTTGATTATTTAGAGCGTCAGCTTTATACAAACGGCACCCTTATATAAACTTTTCCGATATTTATACACATGAATATACCGGGTTTGGTTGAGTCTATGTCAAGTAGTCCCAAACCTGAACCGTTGGGTCTTTTGTCGGGGTCAAAACCTGCAGCTGGTTGGTCTATGGGTTGACCGACCCCATTCCCACACCCCTATCTGTTAAAAAAGAGCATGATTTGTTCTATGTATGGTGTGTTTGGTCAGTGGAAGAGGACAAATCCCGCTGTTGGCCAAAAGTGAAAGCCGCCCGCAAACCGATCGAAATCACGCGTCTGACCGGATGTCAAACCGGTAATGTCACAGAGAGAGAGAGAGAGAGAGAGAAACGATTGAAAGTGTTAGGTTTTCTTATATTAGGTTCTCTGAAGGTGCCCATTTTTTCTTTTTGGCTGATCAAGCCAAGCGAAACCAGCCAATAAGACGGGTCATATGCTAATATGATCAAACCCTTTTTCTTTTATTCTGGACCAACCGGCAAGGCACCCAATGGCCTCATCCACTGTTCATAACTATGGGCAACATACATCTGCAAAATCATTGATGACAATAAAAAAGTAGCTAGAATAATAAACAGAGATCGGTTCAACAATGGACAAGGCTGGGGCCATTGAATATAAAAAACAGAAGAGCTGAATATTAGGAGCATCTTGTTCTTATTTTAAAGCTTCGGATACGGGTTCCTCATACAGGGTTTTTATGTTTTGTTTTTTTGAACATCACCGAATATACAGATAGGCTTTTGCGTGGCGTAGTGAGTTCATAAAAACGCTTGCTGCTTACATGATTAAAAAACCCGAGGGAACTCAGGTTTTTAATGGCCTTGAACAAGGAATCACCCCATAAGCACTCGACTCACTATGTGGACTCGCATGATTCCCAAATACCCGATAATAATTTTTTTTCCTTTTTTCCTACAATTTTTCTCTTCATTCGCTTCGAATCAGCAAGCAGTATTGAGAATCTGCAAGCCGACTCACCCCTGCCGATGCCAGCCTTTGTTGCACCAGATTCCTGATTTTTTAAGACTTATCCAAAATATGAATGCAACACAAGTCTTTGTTCTTCTCAACAATTTCAACAAACAAGAGTCCTAAACTTTGGTTAGTAGGGCTCAAACTTCGGTATCAGATATTTAAATTAGAATGCGGAAGAAAAGCTTGGGAAATACAAAATGAAGATCATACCATGTACATATACAGCAATAGTTTATTTCTATCAAAAAGCATTCAGGAAAGGGGAAGGGGGTAAGGAGATTAGAACACTTTACTCAAGCTGGGCATACCAGATCCCTTGGATCTTCACATCCTTAGGGGTCTTCGCCCCCAAGTCGGTATCCGACGGCTGGATGCTCTCGAAAACTCCAATCACCTCACCGGATTCTGGCTTGCTCTTGGTGACACTGAGGGTTATGTTCCCAGTAGAGGATGCTGTGTTCTTGATGTTCTCTTTCTGGAGCTCCTCATCATCTCCTCTTCCTCCTGCAGGCAGGGCGATCGCGTTATCGTATCCTGTCGACCCACCTCGACCCTTAGGGTCCAAGAATGACGAGCCTCGGTATGAGGGCACCAAGAATTGCCCTCCAAAGCGTTCGGGCTTCCCTGAAGCAACAAGTTGCTTTATGGTGAAGAGGAAGGGCACTCTCTCTCCTCCGGGAAGCTGCACTGTAACCGCTGCATAGTCGATGCCATCTTTCTCCTCAAACTTGACTGTGCCATCGGGCGAAACCTCAAAGGGACCCTCAATCTCATCCAGTGTGTAAGTGAGCCGGGTCATGAGCTTGGTCTTCTGGAACTCCGGAGGAGCGTTCTTGTTTATGCTCTCGGCCTTGACGGTGAAGGAGGTTGGCTCCAAGCAAAACTTCTTCATGTTGTATTTGCCTGGCTTGAAGGCAAATTTGTCGACCCCGCCATCGATCGCCGGGCACTGGTTCGCGGTGCCGGTGCCCTTGACCTCCGTGTATGTCTTGCTCTGGATCTCATCGTAGGTTAGCCTCTTGGGAACCCCCTCTGCGTTAGCTCCCTAGAGGAAAAAAATAGAAAAACGGAGAATGGTCTCAATATACTTGGCTAAGTTTACCACTGATAATTGCACTAAATATAAATGGTCTCCATATAATTGGCTTAGGTTTAGCACTAACATGTCACTTGTAGGGGAATCCAAACTAATGCATCAAAAATATGGTTAGGCCTTAGGTTTAAGAAAGACATAAGAGGAGAATAATAGATAGGAAGAATAGGAGATTTTTGTTTTCCCCTTGCACCCTGCACGCTTAGAATTTCTGCTATTCTATTCTATAGTTAGAAATATTTAGTTATTAGAATATTTTTTCTAATAATATATGAAATAAGAATATAAGAATTTCTATTCTATATTTTAGATATTTAAATTGAACTTAATTTGTAATTATATTTTTTAATTCATTTTTATTTTTCAATTTTAGAATTGTTCTAATTTTAGAAATAATATATAAATATAGAATGATAGAATATTAATCCAAAATAGAATAGAAATTTATCGAATGAAATAGCGACTTACACGGATTTTTTTATTTTTATTTTTTCGGGAGTGTATTAGAATAAAAAAATGATCATTTATAAAAGCACAGATTAGATTTTGAGTTCTTAAACATTTATATCCGACTATCCAAAAATTGGAATGCCTCCTTTCAATCTTATATCCGCAGTTTTTTCAAGTACATATTGATTACGTTTAAATTTTTTCCTTCTTTTTTTTTAGTTGGTCCCTAGGTCTGAGCAGATAGTTACATCCCAAAATGCGAGGACTTAAAAATACTTTTTCGTTGTATTTTACTTGAGGTTATGAATGTGAATGGTAAAAATTATTTTTGACAATAAAGAATGAAGAAAGTGACATGGTACACGAAATAGAAAAGAGCAATTAAGTAATAGAGTATGGGGATTAATTAATAGAGTATGGGGATCAATTGTGACTCAAAGGTAAATGGTAAAATCACAATGATATAAGATTGCAGTTACTTTTCAATGGCTAAACTTTGGCTTCTACTTGAATAGATTAAAAATCAAAGACCAAACAAGTCTAGTCCTTCCTAAAAATCAAGAGAGTCCTACAACATAGAAATCAGTAAAACATGCTTAGAATCATAGAGTTATCATTTGCCTGTATTAGGCATTTGTAGGGAATTCAAAATTTTAATTCCACTACTTAACAAACAAAAAGAGAAACAAAGAGATAGCTCTCTTTCTCTCTCTCTAATCCATCAATATTTTGAATCGTTGGCAAAGAAAAAAAGCCACCAAGTGATGGGTCTCTCTCTCTCTCTCTAAAATGGGATTGGAATTCTAATCTCTCTCTCTCACATCAAATTTAACTCATTTGCAAGAGAGAGAAAACAACCTAGTGATGAGTGTCTCTCTCTCTAGAAAATGTTATTGAAATTGTAGAGATGTTGATAACAAAGGCAAAAGAAAGAGCATACCGCTACCACCAAGGCAGAAGTAGCAAGAGCAAATCCGGCTAGCTTAGTGGCATCAACACACTTGTGAGCCAATTCTCTAAGGTCCTCTTGAATTGAGCAAGTGAGCCTAGCACTAGAGGGCTCGAACCCAAAGGCCTTGCAAATTTGAGAAGAAGACCTCAACTGCAACCCATTTCTACTTGACCCACCAAGCTTGGTGGGCTGCATAAGTGTGGCAGCAGCTTGGAGTGAGGCAGCCATTTTTTCTCTCTAAACCCTCCTCTCTCTCTCTCTCTCGTCTCTCCAATGGAGGTGGTACCCGTATGAAGAGAGAGAGAGAGTATTATTGTGAGAGGAGTGTAAATATGGATAAGGGATAGGATAAGAGATCATCTCATTGGTCCATCTAAACTTTGGTTATGGTTCCTGGGATGCCACGTGACAGACCTTGACAATACTTGCTCTTATCAAAGAGAATGCCTATCTATGTACCATACTGTTGCATGCAACATCCAAAATATAAGGCTGACATTTACACATACCACAAATTTATTTTTATTTTATCGAGTGCATATTTTATTTTGTTTCTGTCTTGTTTCTTTTTATTTTATTTGTTTTAGCTCCATTTCCATTTTAGACGATGGGCAATAGGGGTGGTTGGCCCAGCCTAGCCCTAAAAATTAGGTCGGGCTTGGGCCAATGACAACTAGATTCGGCCCGATTTTTTTTTATTTTTTTTGTTTCTTTTATCTAGCCCAGCCAATACTCCATGCCTAGATAAGACTAGGGCTTGGCCTGAGTTAGGGCTTTTTTTTGGCCCTATTAGGGCAGGCTTGGCCCTATAGCGATCAAAGCCAGTCGGGCTCCATCGCAAGCCCTACCCTCTATTGTCTATAACAACAAAATGAAATTCAAATTATTTATTTTGATAATAAATATTGTATAGGAGTGTGTTTTATTATTGTTAGGCATATAAAACCTAGAGGTTTAAGTGCCAATTGGCTAAAAAATAATTCTCTGCTCAACTTGAGTGTAATAGTATATACTCATATCCAACATACCCCAAGGATGAGTGTAAGTCAGATGATGATGTTGAGTTAGATGAGTTGGAAAGACCAAAAGGGATAAATTTTGAAATAAATACATTTTTAAGAATTTATGCATGGTATCAATAGACTATATGATAAAAGAAAGTAGACTTAAGTGAGTTGGTTATATGTGGCGAAGGGCTAATACAACACCTATTAGGAGGTACAAGTTAGTTCAAGAGGAAGACTAAAAAGAGATATGAAGTACACCCAAAAGGACATGGTTGGAAGTAGTGAGAAAAAAAATATAAAGACTTATGGCTTCATTGAGGCTATGACCCTTAATAGAACATAATGAAAGATTAGGATTCGTGTAGCTAATCTTAATTAGTTGAATTTTTTTTTTTATGATGATGATGATGACTCATAGCCAATATCTATGGTCCATTACAAGCCTTAGATAGTGGGAGATGCATCATACTTCACCCTATTTTTTAGGTAGATGTACTTTGCCTATGATTTAGTAGGAACCATTACTTGGCTCTAGTGCCCAAGGATAAAAATGGATGTTAGAACTTGGATACAGATAAATTCTATACTAACATGCATCATAGTATCTAGCCTCATGGTAAACTAATGTGAATCTAATAAGAAAAGCATACAAAGAGATCATTTATCTTTTGTACGAGAGGCCGCAATCATTTTTATCTTTTAAATTTCAAAATGGGTGGCTGTAAAGTGGCATTGAATAAACATAAAGTTCCAAAAAAAATTCTCCGACTTCGTGACTCACCCAAAGCCATTAATTTGCGATCTAATAGGTGAGAATAGTTGCAATCTCCTTGTAATAAAGATAAATAGTCTATTTGTAGATATCCAATAGGGACCCTTTGCTTGTGTATGTCTACCAAATACTATACTCACATAGGTTATGGTATAGGATGCCGGAGTAAACTAGTTAGCATTTAATAAAGCATACATAGCGTAGTTGGGTAATTAGAATAGGATCCCACTTGAGGTGGAAGAACGATGTGGCCTTATATCTCTTTTAACCGGTGCCATGGTAGAAGAGGTAAGTTGTGTTAAGTAGGCAGTTAACGTGAAACTTTGTACTATAAAAGATGATATAATAGGATCCTACTTATGATAATATATACAATCAAATAAATGCAAATAGTCGAATGATAATATATACAATCAAATAAATGCAAATAGTCGAATGCAACATGAACATTGTTTCGAGAAATAGAGTTAAAATAAAAACGAAATGCACTAATACAATATTTAAGTGGTTCAACGAAAGGGGCTCTATCTATAGACACGACAATGTCGAAATCAACTATTAAAGAAGTTACAATTTTGATTTAAAAGAGATATACTTATCTCCTTAAACATCCGTAAAACTTCAACAATTTTTTCTCTTAAATTTGGTCTCCTGATTGAATAATTTCTTCAATCAATGTTCATATGTTCCATGATTATATTGCAATTGAGGAGAATCTTAAGTACCATGATGTTTTTTTTCTCTAGAAATGACATCTAATCAAATCTAAAACATACTAGAAAACTACATCTCTCTCACTTGATGAACATACTTTTTTTTTTTAAAAGAATTCTCTCTTTTATAGATGGGCCCAAAACATAAGTGGTCAAGTTGATGTTGTGCTAAAACGATATCCGGGGTTAGCCCAAGTTAATAAAATCCACAAATCATGGTCCGAACCGTAAAAAAAATAATAGGAGCCAGGCATGGCCAGTCTTTTTGGAGCCCTAATGTTCACCCCATCTCTCTTAAATAAAGGAGAAGTATACCGTTCACAACATATCGACGGGTGGAAGGGTACACAATCACCCTTTCAATGGTTGAGATCTCACAAGGACAAATCCAATGGCCCAAATTTAGCCTTATATTTTCTTTTTTAATTTTACATTTATATATAAAAATAATTAAAAATAGTTTTCAATATGACAATGACCGAAATATACCTAAATTCATTTGGACCACTACCGCTTATTTGAAATATTTTTTATTATTTTATTCAATTCAACTTATAAAAATGAGGTTGTAGCTAAAATTTCATATTTATATCATTTTAAATAAAAGTAAAAAATTAAAAATGAAATTCAATTTTGGCCCTTTGACGAGACTGGTTTAATCTGAACCCTTAGAAAGTGTCTGTGCACCTCTTTTTAAACCTGTGCAGCATGTGGACGCAATACCACCCCTAAATAAATAACCGAGTCCCGGCCTAAGACAACAAAGAAGTATCAATAACGAACAACTTTATTATTCCCCAGGGAAAATAAAATAAATTTATTTTTTACTAGGATTAGAATCTCTTCTTATTATATTATATAGTAGAAAGTGATTCTTGATCATCTGGTTAGGATCAATCTAAACCAATTATTTTGTATATGATTCAACGTAAAGCAACATGTACTGAGGTTTATGCGCAACTCATTCGGATCACGAGCTAGAGAACAAACTAGATGCTTTTCCCAATAGCAATAAATAAAATGGAAGTATACCATCCACTATCTAAAAAGATCTATCATACCAACCCTAAATAGAAATAATCGAGTCCAAGCCTAAGACAACAAAGAAGTACCAATAAAAAAATATATTTTTATATCTAATTATAGAAGTTTAAACTCTTAAAAATGGTTAAAATTAAGTAAATCTATAAAAATATCAAAATCTTGAAAATGGATGGTCTAGATATTGTATTGTAAGATACACTATTTATGGGATTCAAAATCTTTATTTTTTTCATATTCATATATCTTGATATTGAGATGATCAATTAGAGGGGTTCCTCAATATTAAAAAATTATTTTTCAATAGATTTTTGAGATGCATATATAATTCTACATTTTAAAGTTGTAACCTCATATAAATTTTTTTTCATATATATATATATATAGTCAAAGCTTCTTGTAAACCAGTTGGCTCGACTACATGAAACTTTTACATATATATATATATATATATATATATATTCAAAGCTTCTCGTAAACCAATCGGCTCGACTACACGAATCTTTAATATTGATGGTAAAACTTTCGAATTCCCTAACAAGTTTCACGCCGGAAAATATACAATTGTTGAGTGTGAGCCATCACGGTCAAATCAATGATTTGAACGGTGATTCAAACGGCCCCATCTTACTAATTTGGCTTGGGCTGACATATCTCAAATATTCACCGTCTATCCATTTAATCAACGGCGAGAAACCAATGATCATTTGTTTTCCTGATTCGCATCATTTTGTACGGAGCGCTTATTAATTCCGTAGCCCAAAATCGCCAAACTCACGCGGCAGAGATTTTGAGGAGGGTTTCTGATATTTGTATAGAGAGAAAATTAGGGTTTATCAAGGAAGTTGCAGAGAAGGAAGCCATGTTTCTTGGAGCCATTCCTCGTCGCCCTGATAAAGAGACTGCGTATAAGCAGTTGAAGTCTCATGTCACACTTTTCGGTGCATTTGTTCTTGCAGTTCGGGTCGTTCCCTATGTTCTCCATTTCATCAACAAAGAAAAGGAGGAACTCAAGCTCGACCTTTGATCGGTAAACCCTCCCTCTCCCCCCTTAGGGTTTTTTTTTTTTACTTTTCTCTCTCTGAAAGAGTATATGATCTCAAAGCTATGATTTTTTATACTTATTCATCTCTCTCTGTTTTATGCATATGATTTCAGAGCTATGATGTTGATTCTTATGTATCTATTTCTATATCTCTTTACTTATTGCTTTTTTCTTTCCAAAACGGGATGAATTTCATGGATGTACTGTTGGATTCTTCTGTTTCTCGTTGTCTCCTTCTTCATTCTTTGCTTTTTCTCTCCCAAAAGTCTAAATTCTTTTAGTTTATATTGTTGAAATGCTTGATTCTTGTGCATCTATGTCCCGAATTAGAATTTGCGGCTTCTTTCGTAAATCTTCTGGGAATCATGTCTTTTCTTTTGATCAATGTGTATTACAGCTACATGCATAAATACAGACATGCCCACATAAATGTATTGCATTGTGAATGAATATTTATGGAAGAAAGTATGCATAAGAATGATCACCATCTAAGCCATATGAAATATTGCTTTCTTTATTTCTTCAGAAGAAATTGAACGATGGCGACGAATTTTGTAAGGAATATCCATTGGAAATGAAAATTTCTCGGCTATACTTTATTAAGATTCTGAATTAAAAGTTGCAATGTCTTTCATACATTCGTGGGTTTTCATGAACAAGTGGTTAAAACAAAGGAAAAGAAGAACTTTGGTTTCATAAATCTTGAGTTTGATTATCTAGTTTGTCTCCCCTCAATACGAAGAGAGATTAACAAAATTGTGTGTTTGTCTCCATGTGTGTGTGTGCGTGTCTGTTTGTCTATGTATCTGTGTTTGTGCATGCGTGAATGTGCGTATGCATGCCTGCGAGCATGCGTACTTGCATTTATGTGTGTGCGTTTATGTATGTATGTGTTTTGGCTCTTTAGATTCATCCAGCTGTTACACTCTCAACCACCATTCAATATCTCACATACTTATATTTGTCTCTGGAAATCTCGATTCATCATTTCATTGCACAATAATGGCAACCAAAGAACCATGTCATTTCCTTGAATGTCATTATGTCGTACTCTATGTTCTTGATAATATTTCATTTCCTTACTTGATTGGTTTTGTCTGATTTCATATACATTATTCTGATCCTTGTGAAGCTTTGATACAGGATTCAGGATTCCACAGAGAGGAAGAGACACTGCAGAGTAGTTATCTATGAGTTTGGCAATATGTAGCACTTGTGTTCAAGTCTTTAATGTACTTCGATTTTGAGGATAACATTCACACTGATTGTTTGATACAAGAAAATCACTAGTTTATGTCTAAGAATCAAGTGATATCTTATTTCTTTGTTTATGGAAATTAATCATAGTTGATTATAGAACTAAAACAATGCTGAGTGGATGCAATAGTGCTGTCTATGCTGAAAATGACAGCATAATCTGTTAGAGCTTGCGTTAATATATCACTTCCTTATCTCTGTCATTCTTGTTGGCGCACGTCTTAATTTTATCTGCAGTCTCTGTTCCTTTCTCTCACACTCACATGCATAACATGCATGCACACATCTATGTTGTCATGAAATGATCTTTTTTTCCTTGAATTTCTTTTCAGAATTCACATTTGTCGTATTTAGGAAATGAAAGGGGATCTCGTTGAATTCCTTTTGCAGGGTGTGGGTGCTTATATCTCTTTACTGGCCTCTTTACAGTTTACACATGTGGTTACCATCCTCTTTTTGAAATTCTTAAAACAATGACTATTCTAGGTTGTTTTCTGAATATCAGAGGGCTCCCTTTGAAGCTCAAAACCTGGTTAGGAATCTATCAATTTTCTATCGAAGCCCATTTCAAAAGCCACACCTTCTCCAGTTCTACCCAAAAAACACTCCTCTCTGCAGAAGAGGGAGGCAAAGAGGAAAATGAATTGATCTTTTCTGCTACAACTATTCTCAAGGAGCATCGCTCCAAAAGCCGATGGAACTATCTGAAAGCCTCATGCCCACAAGGCTTTAACCCCCAACAGGTCTCCCAAATAATCATAAACCTCAGAAACAAGCCCCATTTAGCTCTAGCCTTCTTCTATTGGTCAGCGAAGCAAAAGCAAAACTCCTATAAGCACAACCTCCTCTCTTACTGCACCATCATTCACATACTTGCAAGATCTAGGCTAAAAAATCATGTACGAAGCCTTATATTGAAAGCCATGGTTGAGGAGCAAAGCCTTTCTCTGTCTCCTGAAGGTCCTTCTCTCTCTATTTCTGAATTGGGAAATCTTCTGGGAACACTTATAAGAACCTATAGATCGTGTGACTCATGTCCTCTTGTCTTTGATCTATTGATCGAGGGTCATTTACGTGCAAAAAAGGTTGATTGTGCTGCTGAGATAGTCCGGCTTCTCGTACCTCGAGGTCTCCACCCTTCAATTGGGATCCTTAACACACTTCTTCGGTTGGTTTCACAATCAAAAGGATCAAATGAGGGTCTGAGTTTCTTTAAAGAGATCTTTGGGAATGAAACTAGGTTTAGGGCTGGTTCCTGTCCAAATATTCAGACTTTCAACACTCTCATTCTCGCTCTATATCGAGAAGGGAAACTAGAGAGGGAAAATTTGCTTTTTGATGAGATGTCAAAAATGGATTGCAAACCAAATACATTCTCCTATAATGTTCTAATCGCGGCTTACTGTGAGAAACGAAAATTGGAGGAAGCTGTTGAATTGTGGGATGGGATGTTAGAGAGAGGATTAACTCCTGATATTGTCGCTTATAATACCTTGATTGGTGGGTACTGTGATATTGGTGATATAAACCATGCAGAAGCCATGTATAGAGAGATGACTATCAATGGCATCTCCCCAACTTGCCTCACATATGAGCATCTTATTCATGGACACTGTAAATCTGGGAGCGCAGATGAAGCCCTTCTGCTTTACAAAGATATGTGTAGGCACCATTTTGAGCCAAATGGTAGTACTATAAATGAGATTGTTGGTTTGCTTTGTATAGAGAGAAGGACTCAAGACGCCCTTGAATTTCAAAGAGAAATTGTTAGGAAATATGGGGTTCGGGATAGAGAGAGCTATGATCTTCTGATAAATGGGCTTTGTGCTGAGGGGAAGGTGGAGGAAGCACTGGCTGTCCAAGCTGAAATGGTATGCAGGGGCTTTGGCCCAAATATCCAGACTTACAGGGCATTCATTGATGGATATGCCAAACTAGGGGATGCAAATAAAGCTGAAAAGCTTAGAAAGGAGATGTTGGACATTGGACTGGTTCTTGATGATCCGTGAGCTCAATACATGTAATGCATTGCTTGTGATTTTTGGTACAACTGTCCTTGTATGTTTGTTGAAGTTGATAAGAATAGGGTTTTGGTGCCAATACTCTATTCTTGTATGTCCCATAAAGGGCGATAATCTCTACCAATCTGTTCAGGAATATGAAAAAAAATGAATCTTAAACCTTTAGAAATAGTATATATTTTCATTTACTTTGCAGTTTATCATATCGTCACTATCTGTTGAGTTGCAAATTCATCGATGTAATACAGAAATGTATTTTCAATATTGTGGGATGCGTCTCAGATATTAAATCCATGGAAAATCAGTGTTTGGTTGACTGATGCATCCGGTGACATGCAATAAACTTTTTGATTACATATAATCCATACAAAATCTCTCTCTTTCTCTCTCTCTCTCTCTCAAGCGGCAAAAAGGGTTCTGTGAGTCTAAAGTCTAGACAAATCCAGGTGCATGTATCCTCTCAACTTTGTATTGTAGCTCCTATGCATTCTTTTTCATATTAGTGAGCCTGAGTATTCTTCCAACGCATTTCTAGATTGTCTTCCTGAAAGTTGAATGAAAAAATGTACGTGAAACTGTCAAAATTTAAAGGAAAAAAGGATATTTAATGATTCCTAAAAGAGCCTGAGTGATTTGATCACTCTTTTGGTTTCCTATCTGGAAATCTCAGATGAAGTGTCAGTTGATACATTGCCTCATGTCCTTGCCGAAAAGGATCAGCAGCTCGCCGGAAAACTGCAAGCCCACGAGCAAAAGCGAAAGAACCAGTACCTCCTATGACTTGTAATTCCTCTTTGTTTGTGTGCTTCATATCCTTTGCTTGAATGCTCAGGCCCCCTGCATAATCAGGTGTTTCTAAAGAGAGAAATATGATATTGAAGACGGAGTTTGCAAAGCGGTCGGCTGGAATTATGAAGCCCTGGGCTTTTCCGGCAACCTTAGAAGTATTTTCCAGCCTCACTGTAACTATGTGGTGGAAGACCAAAGCACCCCCGTCCCCTCTTGAACCAGGTGGTGGTTCGAAAGGCTGGGGGCGCTGAATGTAGAGAGAGATTGGTGGATAATAGGTGTTTCTCTCGCCCGGATTTCTCTTTACTCCGGTGGATATCAGGGCCAAGAGAATGACTGCAACTGTGGCTGCAGTGACTGCTGAGAAGAAGATGAGCTTGGGTAGCATTATGAGTTCCTTCTTTGTGCTTTGGTTTCTCTCTCTTTGCTTTGGTTATGTGTCTTTTTGTAATTTTGTTTGACAAATGGAGTGGTTGCAACTTGGGTTAGAGAGGGGTGGTTTCCTTTTAAAGGATGTAACCAAATCCATTTAGGGTCGTATTTGCTATCTTCTGGATAAAACAATCGCTTGGCATATATTAATGGAGACAAAATCCTTGAAAGTTATTTAAGCTATTGAATCTTGTCATTCCAACGCTTAATTTACACTTTTTAAGATTAACGTGCAGTAAGAAGCTAATTTAGTTTTTTTTTTTAATTTTTTTGATTTTTTTTTAAGATCTTCAAGTTGGATACCCAACTTGGGGATGCTTAGGCGAGTCCGAGCTGACCCGCCTGAGTAGTCAAACACTACTCGAGAGCATAGTAGACACATTCTTTAATCTGTAAAAGCTAATTTGATTTTCGCTTCATTTAGTAGCAAATTAACTCGACACTTAAAAGGACAATGTATGATGAGGGCAGTGAAGATTCCTACAGTACCTTCACGTTACCCCCCAGCCACCAGATGTCGACAAAAAAGTAGTGCAGAGTTTTTAATATGTTTAAAGTTCAGAGACATCACAACCATCATTTCTTGAAAATCAGAGAATTGGGATGATGCAAAACTAATACGGTGGTTATTGCTAATCTAAGTTCATAACATTTTTATCAACTTACGTGAATTGATCCATCTCCCGGTATTGGGGGTTCATTATAGATGGTCTAATACTAGCCCTTAATTTTTAAGACACATTTGATTTTGATTGGGATTGTATATTTATGTACAAGTTCACAATCACTCTTTGTCATTGGATGTGAAATTCGATAGATTGAAGTGTGTTATAGCATCTAAAAAATTTTATTTTAGATTTTATGTCTAATCAATGAGTAATCCCCAAATCCTAATTGCCTGATTTCGCATGATCAACAATAGTTTCGACCTACCTTATAGTAATGGTAAATGGCCTTATTGTAAACATTTCCGTCTTCATTTCTGTTACTACAAAGGCAATTTCCCCCAAAGTTATTTCAAGAGCAAGACTGAAGATATCATTATATCATATGACACGGTTATCTTAGAATCAGAAGGATTTGCCCTCGGTCTTGCCCCTTAAAAATTGGAACTTGGGTGATTGCTATAGAAAAGCCTCTATATTTGAATAATAAGAAATTTAAAGCTTCAAAAGTACGGAAAAAAATTACGGATGTGGCGGATTATTGTGCGAAAGGAGGAGTTTTACAATCCTTGATCCTTTCGGATGTTATTTTTGTTTAATCTTATTGGAATTCCATTTTGAGCAATAAAATCACATAATATTGTTAAAAAAAAAAAAAAAACTTCAAAAGTATGAAATTTAAAGCTTCAAAAAGCGCTGCATATCGGTTATGTAAACACTTGAAAGTGAAAAATTTAGATTACAAGATGAAAATTGTCTCATGTGGGTTGGACCGTATTACTACATATGCAGTCCATCTTAAAGATAGCTACAAGTAGGTGTTCCATTTAAAAACAAAGAAAAATAACCGTCTAAATGTTTTCTTACTAGAATTATTAATTTTTTAAAATTTATTTATTTTTCCATATTAATTATCTCCATATTAGAGATCATATTAGAGATCACATATCTTTAAAAATTAAGTCCAAAAATCCATTTCAAAAATAGATTCATTAAGAGGCCCGCATTTCTACGTATGCGGCCCTGGCCACATAGAAACCGATTCCTTACTAGATACAGTATTTTCAAGAGCCTGAAATCTATTATTTTTATAAAGGAAAGATTTTATATAAGGTTGCAACCTTAAAATGTAGAATTAAAATTTTTCCTAGCCGTTAGATTCCCGCCATAATTCTTCTCTCCCTTGTTCTCATAATTCTGATTTCAAAATCCCAGTTTCCTGGTTCAAGCTTCTCGATCTTGGAGCGAATTGTGAAATCAAGAAAGAATCACTCTAGTTTTGAGAGCCCACTAAAAACTTCGATCAACAATCCATGAAAGTTCAAGAGAAAAAGCTCTCAATTCCCAAATTGGCTCAAGGATTGGTCTCTTTGGGCCATGGTTTCCAATGCATTAAACCCCCAATTCAAATCATTTATTTATCAAAAGCTGCATCATTTGCTAGTTTTTTGCAGAGACATGAAAGATTTGAAAAAAATTCATGGCCATATGATCACAAATGACTTGCAGAGAGAAGGCTACGCTCTCGAAAAGCTTCTTTCTTTTTGTGCTGTTTCCCCTCTTGGCGATCTTGATTATGGATTCCTTGTTTTCAATCAAATTCAAGAACCCAACAGGTTTATGTGGAATACCATCATAAGGGGTTTCTCAAATAGTCCTTACCCTAAAGAGGCTTTCTTTCTCTACAAGCAAATGTTGAACCAGGGTCTATTCCCAAATAACTTCACCTTTCCTTTTGTCCTCAAGGCCTGCACTCAGCTTTCATCGATTCGAGAAGGGAAAATTGTTCATACTCATATTACAAAGCTTGGGTTTACATGCCAAATAGTTGTGCAAAACGCTTTACTTCATACGTATGTGGCCTCGGGTTCGATTCCCCTGGCTCGTCAACTATTTGATGAAATTACCCACAAGAACATCATATCTTGGAACTCCATGATTGGTGGTTATTCTCAACAAGGTCATGTTGACAAAGCATTAGAGTTTTTTACAGAAATGGAGAATTTGGGTATTGAACCAGATGAAATTACCATTGTTAGTATGCTATCAGTTTGCTCTCAAACAGGGGATCTGGAATTTGGCAGATCCTTACATTTTTGTATTGCCAAGAAAGGTATCAGAGCTGATGTTTATGTTCATAATGCTTTGGTTGATATGTATGCAAAATGTGGCCAAATCAGAGAGGCACGCCTCATTTTTGACCAAATGCCCGAGAGAAATGTGGTTTCCTGGACAACTATGGTCACGGCCTATGTGAAACAAGGGATGCTTGATCTTGCCTATCGATTTTTTGAACAAATGCCCGAGAAAAATGTGGTCTCTTGGAATGCACTGATTGCTGGTTTTGCACAACAAGATCGGGGTCGAGAAGCGCTGGATTTGCTTACTTGTATGGAAAATTCAAATGTGATGCCTGATGAGGCAACTCTAGCCAGCATTCTTGCAATTTGTGGCCAATTAGGTGATTTGAATCAAGGGAAGAGGATCCATAACTACATTTGTCAAAATGGGTTTGGCTTTAATGTCACGTTAACTAATGCTCTTATCGATATGTATGCAAAGTGTGGGAGTGTGGACTTTGCATTATCCCTCTTTAATGAAATGCCAGAGAGAAATGTGGTGTCATGGAATGTTATGATTAATGGGTTGGCCATGCACGGTCGTGGCCTAATCGCCATTGACCTCTTCAACAGTATGTTAGCCATTGGGGTTGAGCCCGATGAGATTACCTTTGTAGGCTTGTTATGTGCTTGTAGCCATGTTGGCCTCCTTGATGATGGTCGAGGCTATTTTGATATGATGCACCAAAATTTCAAGATTGAGCCCAAGCTCGAGCATTATGCTTGTATGGTTGACCTTCTTGGGCGAAAGGGGCTCCTTGATGAGGCTATGGACTTGATAGAGAGAATGCCTGTAAAGCCAGACATGGTTATTTGGGGTGCGTTACTTGGGGCTTGCAGGATTCATGGAAATGTAGAAATGGGAGAGAGAATACTTAAGACACTTATTCAGCTAGAGCCTTATAATGGAGGGCTCTATGTGCTTCTCTCTAACTTGTATGGTGAGGCCCATAGATGGGATGATGTAAAGAAAATCAGGAAAATGATGATGGACAGAGGAATAGTGAAGGGTAGAGCATTCAGCTTGGTTGTAGTAGATGGCATTATGCAAGAATTTATTGTTGGGGACAATAGGAATTGCATCTCTAGTGATATTTATTCAATTTTGAGGCAACTAACCAATCACTCAAGGGAGGAAACCAGTTTCCATACACATGTATAATGAAAGCATCCTTTCCTTTAGAATTGGAGAAAAGGTTGTGAATGTATTATTGCATCAGTGTTTATCATTTTGTATAATGAAAGAAAGACTTTTCCCTGGAATTATGGAGGAAGGCAGTGAATAAAAGAAAGTCATTTATCTTATGGAGATTGTGAATGCATCACTAAGGTTTAAAAGTTTGAAACGATGACCTCAAGGCAGCAACAACAACTGCTGTCCAATTGAGTGATGGGCTTGAATCCATTATTCGATTTTTTATTTTTCTTTGAAGAGACAAAATATTTGTTAAATTGGATTAGTTGCTCAATCTTGAGAAAGTATAGTTTATGTAAGTCTCTTAATGTTTCTAATGAGCAAGGGTAATGAGCTAATAGGCCAACCCCAGGAGAAACAAGTACTTTTGCTTTTGATCCTTTTGGTCTTAAGCTAGGAAGCTAGAAAACAAGCAGCTGATCGTTTTTATTTGTATTCCCTTGTTAAGTTTTGATCGATATATAATTGGAGAATTAGGTCCCCAGTTTTGATCTGATTTGATTGCTTTTCTCCAAAAGAAATCAGAAGAATTTATTAAATTTTTTTGTTGTGTAGAGTATGTTACAAATTCAATTGCTTCCCCAAGAGGCAAAGCAACCAATGGAACATATAAGAATATTTATAAAGAAAACATAGATTTTTTTTAAAAAAATTTAAAAGTTGATGAGGAGAACCAGTTAATTCCTTTAATTCTGCTGCTGCAATCGGGAAACCTGCCAGTAAGCATTGTTTTGACTGTATGGTTAATGTTTTATTGCACTCAATGCTCCCATGTCCACCAAAGTATTTAAAAACAGCATGCTTATTCTGGATTGCATATAAAAAAATCCTCATGCAAGTCCGCTCCGTTGTCGTAGATTGGGCTGAAATAGAACAAAAAATGGGCTTTTTTGGAGGTAATTGGCAAATTACAAACCGAATCAGCAATTCGCCTATTCCGTCTGGTTCTAACTGTCAATTTAAGTTTGGCTCAATACGTTGTTAAGTCAGTTGCTTACACGATTTTGAATTGTTTCTTTCTTTTTCTTATGGATGTCAACTGGCTTACCGACCTCGAATTTATTAATGATTAGGGGGTTCAAGTGAACTTGTCAAAATATGTGGTCTTAAAATTTATAGGGACGTGTACATGCTACTATTTGGGTTTGAAGTCTACTAGCAACACCTAGGTCAATCATGGACAGTTAAGGATTTTCGCTCCTCTCTGTCAAATCTTAGATAATTAAGGAGTTGCAAGTAAACTATTTTAAAGTCAATAAGCTAGCATAGTATTAAAAGCCATATAATTTATCCAAAAAAAAATAAAAATAAAAACCAAGAGTGAGAACCCAAAGGGCTCTCATAATATGATCCACAGTTATCATAACAACATGACCATGAGGCCCTCGCAATCTATCAACAAGTTGGATGGTGATGGAGGGGAATGGGTCGCACTAAACATGTCACTAATGGCACTGTATACTCCTACTCTTCCTCTATCACCATTCAATCCATTGAATGGATGATTATAAATCACATTGTTATTATTGTACCATGACCACATGGATATTACCAGGCCTTTCCTTAAAGGGTGTGGTTGTTTAAGGATGAGGCTCTAAACAATCAAAGTAAGGCGCACCTTCAAATGGTGTCGAAAGATGTCGTTTTGGTATCGAAAATCCATGTGATGGCGTAAAAATTTATTTATTTTAATATCTAATTATAAAATTTAAAGCTTAAAAAATAGTGTAGATCAAACAGATCTATGAATGCTTGAAAATCTTGAAACTTAATGGTTTAGATAATGCATTACATGATGCACTATTTCCAAAACTTAGAAGTTAATTTTTTTTAGTCCATGTAGTTCAAGGTCAAGATGATCGGATTTGATTTTTTGGCATCAAAACAATTTTTTGTATTGTATTTTTTCGGTGTCTCTTAATTTGATTGTATGAACATTTTCTTTCCTTAAAATAGCGAGGAAAGAATACCATAAATGGAAAATACACCACATGCAATTCACCTTGCATAAAGTGCACCACAGATATGTTTTCGATGATAGATGGTTTAGATTAACTGTGCCTGGATGGATATAAGTCAACTGGCATTGGGGAACTAAGGTTAAACTCATGTAAACTAAGGTTAATCTCAAATGTCCCTTCAATGTAAATGAGTGGTGGATGCCCTAGTGGTGTAAAATATGCCATGAGTTAGTGGTGTAGGGTAGTGATACCAAAATCACCAATCCGAATTCAGAATTGGTGAATCAGATCGGAATTGGGGTCCCGGATTCAAATGCTCCCGGATGACCGCATCTCCCCGGTTTGGCTTGAACGGGGCAGTTGATTGTAATGAACTGCCCAATTCACTCCACAAACTCTGGTGATTCCAGAGATGATGATCTGAGTCGGCAATATGCAATCCGACTTAGATCACCGGGTGCCCACTTGGCATCAGAGTTCCCTTTATAATTTTCTTCTTGAACGCTGGTGTATGGTGTCCCTTCCCCAGAGGAAAATGATGCTTAATGGATTTGATTGGTTAAAAGTGTGGCTGATGCTTGGATTGGTTAAAAGTGTGGCTGATGCTTCTTAGATCAGCTCAATCAGCTGTACTGATTTGAGAATCTAACCATGACAAGCTTTTTGCTTAAAGGAATATTGCTGTGGTTATTGCGGTTAAAATTGAACAGAAAATGGTCTGTACAATCTGTTTCTCGCTCTATATTAATGACTGTTTCTCGCTGATCAGATTATTGAGTGCATGGGACAAATCAAGACTCTCCTCTTTTAAATGGAAAATTAATTAACAGTCAAATAAGAAAATAGTATAAAACAATAAAATTTGAAAACATTGGTTATATTCTACATAGATAAGGAAGCCAAGGAACATAGTTAATTTATTATTTACAAATAGGGCATTGTTTTAACAAGAAGTTTTTTATTTTTTATAATTATGTAGTACAAAAGGCGTTCTTTTCTTTTGTGGGTGAGGTTTGTACAAGGTGCCCTACCTTACACTATACAACTATAGCACACCTTTAGTTTTTGCCAGTAGTTATATTAAAAATTTCCCGTTAGCTTGAAAATCCATGTTCAATCCTAATTATGAAAATTTTAAATATAAAAACAATACGGATTAATAAGATCTATAAACATTTGAAAATCTTGAAAATGATGGTTTAGATAACTTGTTATAAGATGCACTATTTTTAGAAATTCAAATTCATTTTTTTTTTTATATCAAAACAACTCGACGGATGATTAATTGGAAGGTTTCCAAATTTCTGAATACTTATTTCTACAAGATATTTTAGGTTTGCTTTACTCCTATAGTATAAGCCAGTAACCATATATAAATGTTTTCCTTCTATTAGAACAAACATTTATTAAAAATACCCAAACAAACGATAGGATAGACCGTTAGACCTCGGGATTCATTATTACTTAGGGTTGTTACCGGGCCCTGGTTAGGCCCAGCATTCAGCTTAGTTCCGGTTACTTGTCAGGGCCCCTTGTAGGCCGAAAATATTTTCGGGCTCATGCTGGGCTAGGAATAGCCCAGCCTGGTTCCAATCCAAAAATTTTTAAATTATATATTGGCACATTAAAAAAATTTCTCATAGTTATACAACCCTGTTTTTTTGAGCCCCCCTTATCATGAATTCGGGCTTGGCTAGAATCTAAAACTTTTATGCCCTGGCATACCTTACATGGTTCTGGACTGGGGCCTGCCTGGACCTGGCCCGATAACATCCCTACCGTTACTTCTTATATTTTAATATATAGTCCCTCGTTTTCTTCCTTTCGCTTAAAAAACCAAAAGTTAGTATCTTAATTTCATCTTTGCAACTTTTACTATTGATTCCAATTCTTTTTCAGTGTGTATATTATTCACTATGCATTTCTTTTAAGAAGTATATGCTTCTAAATCATATGGCCATTTTTTATGCAAATGGATGTTATATATTCCTTGGATAATATTGTTTTGCTTCCTTGGCCTGCATTTGAAGCATTTGCATGACATTATTTTACTAGGATAACATGGTTCCCTTGATCTTTGTACCACCATTATATGCAAGATTGAAATTCCTTGTACCTATTGATGGATGTAGAAATGGAATTTGTTCCTCTCTATTATCACAGGACATTTCATTTATACTTTATTTCATTGAAATCTCTCCATACATTCTTGAGAGAGTGTGCCTACAAGGACATGACCCACCAACAGCATGTATGGAGTGCGTCCTTAAAGGACATGGCACAAGGCATCATTTTCTCTTGCTTTCAGCTTAATGCTCAAAAGTTCTTGGTGAAATGCAGGGTTACCATCAAGTTTTACCTTTTGGTTGATGCCACATGTCTAAACTTGAGGACCTAGTTCTAAAAAATATGTAAAAATTATGGAGGGATGTAAGATGGTTCCGACAAAAATGAAAATTGTACTAATAAATTAAAAGAAATTATCATTGTTATCATTCAATTTTTATTCTAATTATTTGAGATCAGATTTACATAAATCTTGTTATACTATTTGGCTCTGTTAATGGTCATACCCTCAGTCAGGCCATAAATCACTATATCTTTTACCACTACTTCTATCCATGTCTTTTTGGGTATTCTGCTTGTTTTTTAAAAAACTTTTATTTTTACCAAATCATTCCTCGTAATCGGTGTTGTTTTAAGTCGACACTGTAGATGGCCAAACCACCTAAGTTTGCATTGTGTCGTCATCATCATCATCTTCATCCAAGTCTTATCCCAATGATTTGGGATCGGCTACATAAATCTAATGATTCATGATAAGTTGTGGCAAAGTTTTAGTCTGCGTACCTAATACAAACTATCTCCTTTATTCAGGTCGGAGACGGTTAAGGAAAAATTTAAGATCCTCATCTTTATTAGACAAAATCACCCCTCCTAATCAGCATTACTCTAAGTTGATATTGCACATGGACGGACTACCTAACGCTACTTTCCATCATCTTGATACTACTACTTTCTCTGGATGTATATTATTTTCTTAATGATTTTGCGAACGTATCAAGTCGTAATGGTTTTTGAACCTTCCCGCTCACAAACGCCAATACTCATGTCAATGCTCATGCATCTGGCTAAAAGAGAAGCATACAAGTGAAAAGATGCGGTTACCGTATGCAATCACCTTCAATTATAAGAAGGTATCCTCCATTTGTTTAGAGGGTGCAGTTTGTACAGAGCCCAGGCTCTAAACAATTAAAGTAAAGCGCAATTTCAAATAGTATTAAGAAATGTAGTTTTAAATCTTTGTGATAGCTTTAAAATATATTTTCATCTTTAATTATAAAAATTAAAGCTTTAAAAATAATGTTGATCGGGCATTTATATGAAAACTTGAAAATTGACAGTCCAAAAAAGCATTACAAGATGCACTATTTCCAAAACTTGAAATCCATTTTTTCTCATTTCCATGCTTCTTGATGTCAAGATGATCAATTTGAGGATATTTGAGCATCAACACTACTTCTTCTAGTGAAATTTGTGAGGTGGGCTCTAATTTGATTGTTTAGAGCCTCGGCTCTATATAAACTTTTTTTTGTTTTTTGTTTTAAAGTTCCTTGTTTAAATTTGGAAAATTTATCAAAATACACCTATCTTATTAACTTTTTAACATTTTACCTATGTTCAACTATTCCAACTTATGGTCATGTGTATTTTGCATTGTTTAAAAGATCGGCCGATTTTTAAAAATCGACCGACTAACTCGGGATCGGTCACTGGCAGATCCGGATCTGGCCCGATTTCCAACGGTCATGTATGCATGAATTTTTTTTCAGTGTACTAATCGACGGACTAATCGGAGTAATTGGCATTTATCGATCCAATTTTGGACGTGGCAGGTTGAGTCCAGGTCCATCAATATGGACCTAATTGTTAGGTCAGGTTAGATTTGGGTCCAACCCCGAACTCTTCAGATTAGGTCAGGCCCAACCCAACTTGTATTTTCTATATACGGCATATATTTTTATTAGAAAACATGGATACTATATTTTATTTAAATACTGTTTATTTTTTATATTTTGACCAATACCCAACCGCATGGGTGAGGTCCAAGTCCGATCAACCTCGATCCAATGAGTCCAGGTCGGGTCCAGGTCAACCAGGGCTCCAGCTTAGACCCCCAAATTAGGTCCTATTTGGCAAGCTTTCATATAAATGAGTTCTATCCATTGTAGATGTCCACATTCTACTCTGTCCCTCTTTTCATAAACACTTATTATTTCGTTGATAGAATCTCTTAATTCAAAGGTTTTATTTTGTGTTCTTTTTTCCTAGCTTATGAGAGTAAACCAAGGCTTCCAAAGCTCAAAGCATAATAGATGGCACTAAAAGCACGTTGTGCTAAAGGGTAACTGGTGATTTGACTCCAGGCAACAAAAGTTAGGGACATGAGAACATGATGAGTGAAAAAAGTGGTGATGTGGGACATGAGACAAAATCGAAATCAACATAAAACCAAGAGCCCCTCATGGCTCAAATATGCCCACCATTCTCGGGCATAAATACCTAGAGGCTTCTCACTCAAGCCTCAACCTTTTGTCCATTGGACTCCACTTCATCAAACTTATCATGTAAGGTATAAGCAACTTTAAGTACCCAAATCAAACCCTAGGCTTAGTTAAAGTCTACTAACTTCAACTTCTATATATATGTGTGAACGTGTATGGTTCATACCCCCTCCCCCAAACTTTTTGACTCCCAAAACAAGTAAGAGATAAGAAAGAAATATGAAATTTGGTAAAGAAATGGTGCACCCTAGCCACCCCCAACACAAGCTCAAGTTTGAGCACACTGATATCCCATTCAAGTGTGATGGGTGCAAAGAGGCTGGAATTGGGTCCAAATACAAATGTGATATTTGTGACTTTGACCTCCACTTGCATTGTGCCCTGGCCTCTCAAGACATCTATCACCCTTTCTATAGGAAGTGCACCTTCCAATTCCATCAAAAGCCACCTGGGGAGCTTATGAGGTATTGCAATGCTTGTGGGAAAGATGTGTTAGGGTTTGTGTACCATTGCAAGAGATGTGGCTATGACCTCCACCCTTGTTGTGCAAAGCTCCCTCATGCCCTAGATGATGGTGAAATCAGGCTTTTCCTCTATAGGAAAGTGTCATCCTCTTGTCACAAGTGTGGGAGAAAAGGGCCTAGTTGGTCTTATAGGTCACCATGCAAGAAGTACAATCTCCATGTGTCTTGTGTTAAGGAGATGTTAGTTGAGATTTGGCAGGAGATTTATTTCTCTGATGGAGGGAAGAAGAAGAGTTTGGAGTTCCACACTAGGATTCCCAGTCTCAAGGGGATGCTTCATAACCATCATAAGAGTAAGAAGGGGAAGGTAAGGAAGTGTTGTGAGATGGCAGGGACTGCTGTGCAATTCATAATATCAGCGGTGCTTGGAGATCCTTCCGCCGTGATTGCTGCTGTAATTGGTGCCTTCATGTCTAGATGACTCTCTCTCTCTCTCTCTCTCTCTCTCTCGAGAGGGAAGACAATTGAAGGACTTTGTTACAAAGGTGCCCTTCCCTAGGGGTTTTGGTCCAAGTCTGGTGCCCTACCTAGGTGCCTTTGTGTCATTTCTTTAAGTGCCTCTGTTGTGTAAGTAATGTGTGGAAGCTTTCCCTTGTTTGGCATTGCTATGGAGAAACAACTCTCCAACACTTACAAATCTCTCTCTCTCTCTTGTTTGGCCTTGCTATGGAGAAACAAGTCTCTTAATATCTCCCAAGATTTTCACTATGGCCTCCTCAAAAGATGCCTAATCTTGCATATATATGTTTCTGTAGCTCATAAACGCCTCCAAATCATCCCCTCAAAGAGACTATTTCATTCTAGATTTTTAAAAGCTTGATGTTTTTCCTTCAAATTGTCCACATGATGAATTGGTTTTTTCCTCCAAATTACCCACAATGCGAACTTTGAATTGAAGATTATCTTGAAAGTTTTTTAGATAAGAACATTTTGGGGGCTCGGTCATCTATTGATGGTGATAGCCCTAAAACATTTTCAAAAAGAAAGGATTTATGCTATTCACAACCACTAAGCAGGTAGGGCTGCCACCGGGCTGGGCTTTCGAGATACCAAGAAAAGCCCGAACTGTTTCCGTCTTGTTTAGATACATCTTCAAAATTATTTTTAAGTTAACACCCCCTCCTTCCCCCCGGTAATCCATTAGAGAATTGCTTGTTAGCTCCATTAGTGAATTCAAATCAGCCATAGTGTTATTCACATATTTCATATTGGTAAAACAATAATCCACTCAAATAGTCCACATCTTTGGTGGGTGTTTTTATTGTTCCCTGGCTTTTTTGACTTTGAGAGCCTAGTGGAAGAGTAGCTCAGGAATTCTTGGCATCTGAAGACTGGTTGATGTTTCCTAAAGAAGAGTCCAACATGGTTTTCGACATGGATTAAGCAAGAAAGATGCTAATTGATGCCAAAACAATGTCAATCGTGAGTGGTTTTGGATAGGGAAATGTGGTTTTTGTGCGAGTAGCTTCACAGGTTGTTGGGCATGAAGTGGATTTGCAGGCTGATTGAATAAGGGGAGCAACATCATTTGGGTATTGTTGGCTGTTTCCATTTGGTGGTTTTGGGGGCTTGAAGATTCCTCTTTTGGGATGGGAAAGGTGGTTTTGGGGGATGGTTTAGAAAGGGTGGTAGAGAGGAGAAAGAAAGAGGAGAGAGAGAGAGAAGGCTGATGGCATTGAAATGCAGGGGAAGAGGGTCTTGAGAAAGAGCAGGGGTCCTCGAATGTGGGTTTTGCTCAAAGAACTTATCGGCACACTGATTGTTATCAGCAGGAGGCAAAGGTTGTCTTGAAATAACTGACTTAACATGAAAGATCCTTCTTTTGTTTTCAATGGCCTCATTTCACCTAACCCACTATCTGAATGACTACTCACTCTTAAGCCAATTATTTAGAAACCATTAGCCTTGTGATTGAGAATTAACAATGCAGACATCGTATGAGATAGAAGCCCCTACTTACGTTCAGTCTTCTCTGTTTGTATGGCTAACGCATAGAAACCGCGTTCTCTTAGCATAGCAAGCGAACCGAAGCGAAGCAAAGCTCACACTAGAACTTTTTCCCCAGTAGCTAGAGCCAAAACAAGGGCAAGCAAAGCCACAACGGTCGAACTTAACTCTTTCCCTTAGCAAGCAAAGCATTCTTTGGACGAAGACAGTAGCTCGCTCGCTCAGCTGCAAAGCCAAGCTCAAGAGTTTCAAGAAAACTAAGAAGCCTGCTAGGAGGATCAGTAGCTGACTTAGCCTAGCCGCCTACTTACTGTAGTATAGCATAGCGAGCAACGAGTCAGCGTTAGCCAAGGAAGCCGCGAGCGAAATCATTTAGTAGACTTTGCTTCCCACCTTTCAAAAGATTGTTATGAACTGACTAAATTATTAGATTCTCCCTACCACATTTGGATCACAAGAAACAAAAAAAAGGAAATTGGGGACTCATGATGCATAGTCTTGTTTCTTTTTCTCTAATGTCATGTCTCTGTTCATATTAGTACATATTTATAGGACAAACCTTTATATGGTCGTCAAATGTTATAATTCAAATGGCATTTTCTCTTTATTTGTGGGCCAAAGCTGGATTATACAAACATATGCCTTTGAATTGTAAACATACTACTCCTTGAAAGAAGCCAAAGAGGTTATTGCAATGAGGAGAGGAGCCCCACTGCATTCTATATACGATTACAGGTGGCCAGGTTGTCGATTAAGGCTTATGAATTGTAGTTGGCCTCCTTCTTTTGAAAGGGGTGCTAGAAGGTCCAGGTTAGGTCGGGTTGGATCTGATCTGGTCCAGTCCAGGTTGGGTTAACCTCGACCCAGTAGGTTTCGAGGTTCAAATATTTGACTACCAACTCTTGAGAGCAAGAAAGGGATTGGGTCGAGGTGGTCGCACCCCCGTACCTAGTTACCACGTTGTCGCTTCTAATCTCATTGACACCACCCACTAATACTTTTAAAAAAAAGCTACTCCCTAATCTATATGAAAAAATAGGCAAGGGCCTGACTTCCCCACTGAATTACCTAAAAAAAAAAGAAAAAGAAAAAAACACTCATGAGAGCATGCTCATGCATTTGGTCACTTCTTTAACGAGATCGAATTCTACACCTATGTGAAGAATAATTTTCTTAGAACATTGATCATTGGCCATATTGATCGAAATATCTATGGATGGGGTATTGGTTTGTTTGTTGACATACGTGTTCAAATGTAGCATCCTTTAAATATTCATCATAGAGATGTATTTCAGATGTAATTCTACATGTTGATAATCTCGATCATCACCCACATCCAAAATAACCATAAGATATGAATTACCTTAACATTTTACCAATGTATTTTGATTAAATTTTGAAATACCCATCAAAAGATACATGATAAAGACAATGAATAGATGTGAAAGTGTAAAATGCTAAATAGTTTCTCTTATGGGTAGTTTGATAATTTTTTTAGAAAGATTGTATTTTGAACCTTAACAATACAAGGAATGTATACTAGGAGACCATTTACTTTTGTTACAAGGAGGTCACACTCTTTTTTAGCCATTGGATGTGAAATCTAATAGATTGAAGTCTGTTGGACATTGTGCTCAATCAATGGTACATTCTCAACTGCTTGATTTCATATCCAACGGTTAATAATGATTGTTAAAAGAAAGACCTATGTGATCTTTTGCCGAGAAATATAATATTTATTTTTTAATAATCTCCCCTTACGTTTTTGGTAATAAGATCACTCATAGATGGTCTTATTACAAACTATAGATATTCGAAAAAACAAATAGCACATCAATAAAATAAACCTCAACAATTTGATGCCATTCATACAACCTAATACTGTGCTTGAGAATATAAAATAAAAGAACAAGCTAATAAAAGAAAAGATGGTGGAAATTACCTCAACCGTGCTTTTTACACCCCACACCGAGTCACCACATCCAATGGCACTAGATCTGCGGTCTAGCTTCAATCTCAAACAGGGATAGCTGATTTCGGCCAAACTAGGTAACCACACTTAAAATTTCTACTAAAGCTTAACCCCCAAAATTAACTTAGGCTCCCTCTAATTTTTCCATCTCTTAATTTCTTCTTAGGTGTACCCCTATAGGAGAGAGAGATGAGAGAGAGAGAGAGATTAGGGGGGGGAGAGAGAGAGGTTGTCTAGAGATGAGGGGGAGCACCCTTATTTATAGTGAAAATTTAGGTTTAGGATTTCTTAGGGTTTTCCCATAGTTTGCCTCTTTCATGAGATTGAATCTAGACCGTTGATCAAGGTGACTTGTGGGGTGAGAGATCTGAGCCATTTATTCCATATATGGGCCATCAACATTATGGAAGGTGCTTGGACCATTATCCCCCTCTTCTTAAACCATTTTCTCATCAATATATTTAAATAAAATAAGTATCATGCATTCCATAAAATTGCATGATCCATCTCACATATTCCACAAGGATATGTCAAATATTATCAAGTAAATAAATACTACCAAATATTAATAAGATAAGGTCAATATTTACTATTTATTCAAATTGACCATATCCGTTTAAAACAAACTTGCCAAAATACAAAATAAGTCATGGTTAATATTTCTTTTCTAAGATATGACTACATGATATAAGATGCTATTTCCAAAATTAAACAACTTAAAAACAAATCCAAAAAAAGGAGTATCCAAAAGGGTGGGGTGTACCACCCCTATATGGCACGTGTCGGCCCCCACCCACATGCCACACGGTGGGCTCATGTGCACTATAGGCCCCCATGGATTTTATAAAATATATTATTTAAATTAATAATCAATTAAATATATATATTT